TTGCTTGCTAATGTGAAGAGTGTAGTTTCTCTTATTTCCCTCTCTGTGATTTTGTTGTTCGTGTATAGGAATGCTATTGATTTCTGAGTATTGATTTTGTATCCAGCCACATTACTGAATTCATTTATTGTATCTAAGAGTCTTTCAATTGAGTTTAGGGGGTCTTCTATATAGAGTATCATGTCATCTGCAAACAATGATAATTTAACTTCTTCTTTTCCTATCTTTACCCCTTTTATTTCTCTCTCTTGTCTAATTGCTCTGGCTAGTACTTCCAGTACTATATTAAATAGGAGTGGTGATAAAGGACATCCTTGTCTTGTGCCTGATTTTGAAGTTAAGGCTTTCAATTTTTGGACATTTAGTACGATGCTGGCTGTTGGTTTGTCATAAATGGCCTTTATTATATTGAGGTAACGACCATCTATTCCAATTTTCTGTAAAGTTCTTATCATGAATAAATGTTGGACCTTATCGAAGGCTTTTTCCGCATCTATAGAAATCATATGATCATATGATTATTACTTTTATTACATCATATGATTCTTACTTTTGGCTTTATTGATATGGTGGATTACATTTATTGATTTACGTATGTTGAACCATCCTTGCATTCCTGGGATGAATCCTACTTGGTCATGGTGTATAATCTTCTTGATGATTTGCTGCATCCTACTTGCCAACATTTTATTGAGGATTTTTGCATCTGTGTTCATTAGGGAGATCGGTCTATAGTTCTCTTTTTTAGTTGTGTCTTTCTCAGGTTTTGGTACTAGAGTAATATTTGCATCCAGGAATGACTTAGGAAGGATTGCTTCCCTTTCAATGTCATTGAATAGTTTGAGGAGTGTTGGCATTAGGTCTTCTTTGTATTTCTTGTAGAATTCTGCAGTGAATCCATCTGGGCCTGGGCTCTTCTTTGTAGGTAAGGACTTAATTACATTTTCAATTTCATTAACAGAGATTGGGTTACTCAACAGTTTTACATCCTCTTGATCTAGCTTTGGTACTTCATATGTTTCTAAGAATCTGTCTATTTTTTCTGTGTTATCAAACTTTTGAGAGTAGAGGTTTTCGAAATAGGTGTTGATGATCTGTATTTCTATTGGGTCTGTAGTGATTTCACCTTTTTCATTTCTTATTGCATGAATTTGAGCTTTTTCTTCCCTTTTTTAAATAAGGTTGGGTAGGGGCTTATTGATTTTATTTATTCTTTCAAAGAACCAACTCTTTGATTCTTTGTATTGTTTTCTTAGTCTCTATTGCATTGATTTCTGCTCTGATTTTTATAATTTCCTCTCTTCTTTTGGCTTTGAGCTTCACTTGCTCTTCTTTTTCTAGCTGTTTGAGGTGTAGCATCAAGTTATTTATTTGTATTCGTTCCGTTTTCCTGATGTGGGAACTCAGTGCAATAAATTTTCCTCTGAGGATGGCTTTCTTTGCATCTCACAAATTCCAGTAAGTTGTATCTGCATTTTCATTTTCTTTTAGGTATTGTTTAATTTCTTCTGTGACCCACTGATTACTCAAGGGTGTGTTATTCAGTTTCCATGTGTTTATGGAATTTTTGCAGTATTTTTTATCATTAATTTCTAATTTCAGAGCGCTATGATCTGATAACATGCAAGGGATGATTTCAACTCTTTTGCATTTGTTTACATATGTTCTGTGAGCCAATATATGGTCTGTTTTAGAGAATGATCCATGTACTGCTGAGAAGAATGTGTATTCTGATGTTGTTGGGTGGAACATTCTGTATATGTCTATTAAATCCATTTGTTCACAGGTGTGATTCAGTTCTGTTATTTCTTTGCTCATTTTCTGTCTGGTTGATCTGTCCCTTGGTGTCAATGGTGTATTGAGGTCCCCTGTTACAATTGTGTTACTGATAATTTGAGTTTTCATTTCTGTTAATAGTTGTTTTATATAACTTGGAGCTCTGCAGTTTGGTGCATATATATTTAAGATAGTTATCTCTTCCTCTTGGAGTTTCCCCCTTACTAGTATGTAGTGACCTTCTTTGTCCTTTATGGTCATTGTTGGTTTAAAGTTCACATTGTCTGCAAAGAGAATGGCTACTCCTGCCTTTTTTTGGATTCCTGCTGCATGAAGTATTGTTTTCCGTCCTTTGACTTTCAGTCTGTGAGTATCCTTCTGGGTTAGATGGGTTTCCTGTAAACAGCATATGGTTGGATTTTGTTTCTTGATCCATTCTGCTAGTCTGTTTCTTTTGATTGGTGCATTGAGACCATTTACATTAATGGTTATTACTGTTAAATGCTGGTTTATTGTTGACATGTCATCTCTCTGCTGTTGCATCTTTATCATTCTGTTCTGTTTAATTATCTGCTTTGCTTAGTGGTTTTTTCCTTTGTGTATCTAAACTGTCTTTCAATATTTTTTGCAGGGTTGGTTTGGTGTTCATGAAGTTCTTCAGCTGTTCTTTGTCATGGAAGTATGTATTTCCCCATCAATTTTGAATGACAGTTTTTTAGGATACATCAGTCTAGGTTAAAAATCATTTTGCTTTAGGATCTGGCATACTTCACTCCATGCTCTTCTTGACTTTATTGTTTGTGCTGAGAAGTCTGCTGTGATTCTGATAGGTTTTCCTTTATAAGTGATCTGTCTTTTGTCTCTGACAGCTTTTAATAATCTATTCTTGTGCTGGATTTCTGGGATGGTGATTATTATATGTCTGGGTGGTTTTATTTTGGTTATGACTATTTGGAGTTCTATGTGCTTCACTGATCCTGATGTCAGTTTCTGATCTCATGCTTGGGAAATTTTCAGCTATTACTTTTCTAAATATCCTCTTGACATCCTTTATGTTGTCTCCTTCTTTTTCATTAATCCCTATCATTCTTATGTTATATTTCTTTGCATTGTCTTGCAGTTGTTGAATTGTTTCCTGATTCCTTGTTATTTTTAAAAGATCTTTCCTTTCCTGTTCACTAGCTGCAATCCTGCCTTCAAGGTCTGAAATTCTATCTTCACTTTCATTAAGGCGGTTTTTACAACTTTCAGTGGAGTTTTTTATTTCCTGTATATCTCTGTGCATCTGCATTATGTATTCTGTTTGTTTCTTATATTGCTCGTCTAGGGATTCTATCTTTTTGTTTAGTTCCTCCAATTTTTTAACTGTGTTTTCTTTAGATATATTCAGAATCTCTTTCATTTCTTTTATCATTTCATCTTTTACCTGGGAGATTATTTCGAGTTTGAATTTCTTTAAAGCTTCCTGGAGTTGCTTGTTAATTTCAGTAGCTATTGTGTCTGATATTTGAGGTGAATGGCATATATTTTCTTCTATATACATTGCTCCAAAGGTTTCTTGAGATGGGCTGGAGGTTTGAGGTTGTAATTTGGTCTTTCATTTTGTCATTTTCCTATATTTCTGTGTTTCAAGTGTTATTTGAAAGCTTCCTCAGGGTCTGTTGAAAATCCCCTCTATGTTTGCAGCTCCTGAGACTCTGGCACCCCGTTACCCCAAGCCTCTGGGCCTGCAGAACCAATGGCCCTCCTCTGCCTGTTCACAACTCTACAGTTCCAGATAAGCTGGGCCTCAGGGACACTGTGCGCCCACCTGCCCTTTGGAAGCTCCACAGCTCTCCAAGTGCAGCTGGGATGCGGAGGCGGATGTAGCCACCTCAAACCTGCCTCTCCACTTCACTGCACCCAGAAGCCTGGAGGGTCCGGAACAGTCTGGGCTTTGGGCAGAGTGCGCTGAGCACTCACCACTGGCCGTGGTGCCTCTGGAACCTGCGATCCTCCCCTGCTTGCTGAGATATCCACCTTCCTCCAAACACAAGGGGAGGCTGATGCAGGCGCCCCAGAACCGCCCTGCCCCTCCTTTGCACACTGATGGTGAGGTGCGGGAGTCACAAACAGGCTGGGCTCAGGGGATACCGTGTGCCCACCTACTTGTTGGAAGCTCCACTTGTTGGAAGCTTCACAGTTCTCCAAGTGCAGCCGGGCTGGGGAGGCAGATGTAGAGACAATGCTTATTTTCAATACTTTAACTATTAATATCTTAATATTAACTAAGGTATAAATGTCTGCTACTCCGAGCATGAAAGGTGGTTTTTGGTGGTTTTTTCCCTCCATTTTCTTTCTTCATTGCTGGGGATTGAATCCAGGGTCTTATACATGTCAGCAGGACCAGATTATTTATTTACTTGTTTATTTATTTGCAGTACTGAAGAGCCTTTGCATTAAGCAAGACAAAATATCCTGTTTTTCCTTTTGAGATAGGCTCGCCCTAAATCACTAAATCACAGGCTGAGCTGCAACATACAATTTTTCTGCTGCCTTGGCCTTCCAGAGTGCTGTGATTACAGTGGAACGCCACCAAGTCAGGTCTGCGTGAGTGTAATTATAGCACGGACGGTTTTCTTGAAGGTGTAAATAGCTGGACGTAGGATATGCAATTCTGTGCAAGTGAGGGAAGCCCTGTTTCTCGGCGACTTTAGCACAGGTGGGAGACTGGCCTGGCTGAAGACAAGGGACTTCTCATCACCGCAGCTTCAACTTCTCTGTTCCTAGGCGCCTGGTAGCCCTTCCTCTCAGAAAGCCTCCCCAGTCACTCTAGCTGCTCAGAAGCGGCCACGCCCCCGACTCACCTCGCGCCTGCGGGCGTCCCGTGGCCACGCCCTTAGTCCCCCAGCTAAGGACGCAGGCGTGCGCGACGCCCTGCGCAGGCGCGCCGCTGAGCCCCAGGTGAAGGGCGGGAGGCCTTGGAGCCGAGCCAATCAGCGTGCCTGGAGACAGAACGTGACCAATCAGAGACTAGAGTGTGGCGCGCGGAAACCGCCCTGCAGCTAGCGGCCACGCCCACGAGGACGACGGCGACTCCTCACAGACCGTGGGCACCGCGCTCTGGTCCCACTAATTCCACCTGCTCCCCTAATTCCGTGGCGTCCCCCACTGGCATCTCCGCAGGCGGCACCGCGCATGCGCTCGCCTCGGAACCGCCTCTCAGAACCGCGCCGCGGCGGGGGCGGGCGGGGCGTTGCCGGGCGACGGCAGCATGCTGCCCGTGGTACCCAGAGAGTGCGTCGCGGCGGGCGGGACCCGCTGCGCCTCGGCCCGGACTCGCACTGCGTCCGCGGGGGTCACGACCCGGCCGCCGCAGGGCCCCTAGGCGGCGTCTCCCGAGCCCCTGCGACATGCGTGGCGCCCGGCGTGTGCTGCGGAAGCGACGACGGGCGGATCGCTGCACGCGGGCGGACTGAGGAGACCGTAAGTGGCCGTCGGCCGAGCCTCGGTGCCCCGGCGGGAGCTCTTGACCCGCCTCGCAGACAGCATCGGAGTCTCTCACGCCTGTCCCCCGAGCAGGGGTAGTCCGGGACCCGGCTCTGCTGGTCGGCACTGGGAGGAGGCGTGGCGGGGCCGCGGGAAGCGGTGTCCAAGGTGCGTGTGTGGTGGGCATCGAAGCGGAGCGCTGGGCTTCCGTCAGGTCCGCTGCGATCTGCGCAGAACGCCCTCTGCGTGCCGAAGTCGTCGTTACTCTCCTTAGAGTCTTTGCAAGCTGAGGCCGCCAGTTACACCCCTCCCCGCCCTGCCCTGTTCTGGGGCTGGAGCCCGGGTTTTTTAGAGCTACATACTCAACCCTTTCGTAGGTTCTGGTTTTGGGACAGGGTCTCGCTAGATGGCCCAAGCTGAGGTCCAGTTTGTGAGCCTTCTGCCTCTGCCTCTTAGACTGCTGGGATTACCGGCCTGTGTCATCACACCTTGCCGAAACGTGCTTTCCTTATGGGAGGACAAATAGAGGAAGAATAGAATTACACTGAGACTTTTTAAAAATACACACACAAAAATAGCTAATAGGAGTTATTTAAGTACAAGTTAAACTGTCAGCTATGTGGAAATACAGCATCTAGAACCCTGCCGGGTAAACAGTGTCGGTGGAACAATCTGCTGTCAAAACACATAGTAGAACGATGAAAGAATTTGAGTATGTGGTATCGGGATTGTACGTCCCTGCCCCAGTCAGGTCTTGTGGTTCTCCTTATATATCCACATTCAAACTGTGTACTGTATGTAATGGGATCTGGGGCATAGGTCGGTGTTACAGGGCACCAGTTCACCCCCACACCCACAGTGTGTCCAGGAAACCTCGAGGGAGGGCTGAACACGTTATTTCACGGGTATAGTAAGCTGCAGTAAAAAGCATGTTTTGTCTTTGCTCTCAGTTTACCAACAGAGAGGCAAGTAAACCGTCATGGCAATTCATGATCTGGGTAAATTAGTTTTAGATTGCTGTCAGTACATAGTACAATGGGCACAGTTTTATGGGTGTTTTTACATCCTCAGGCTGAAAAGAAAATTCAATGATGAACCTTCATTTGCAAGGTGTAAAGTTACCAGAAGCCATTGAATCCCCATTAATTCCCCAAACCATTGAAACCACAAGAGGTTTAAAAGCAGTATTTTTTGTTCATGGATTCAGAAACAATGTTCTGGATTGTTGTTGTTGTTGGTTTGGTGTTTTTGAAACAGGATCTCACTATGTAGTCCAGGCCTTGAACTTTTGATGATCCTCCTGCTTCAGCCTTCCGAGAACTGGGATTACTGGTGTGTGCCATCATGCTTGGCTGGAACTTAATTTTAAAATCAGAATTCTAAAAATAAATTTAATTTTGAAGTTGTGACTTGGAGTTTTTATATGTCATGGCAGTCAAGCATCACGAAAAAAATCTATCCATATTTGGACTGAAATACTTTGTGTGTGTGTGTGTCTGCTTGCATGCAAGTTGGTAGGACTGATTCTCAGCATCTCACACATGATAAGCATTTGAGCTACATCCCCATCCCTAGCCTTGGAATAATTTTTTGTACCTAAAAATGCTTAAATATATGCTTAAATATAGGGCATGATATGGTTACTGGACCTTCACCAATCATTGGTAAAACAGGAAAAAGTCCATTATGATTTATTTTATTCAGAGAATGGCATATAAAAGAATGAATGTTATATAAAAGATATAAAAGAATTCTAACCACAAAATTCAAATTATTACACTATGGTGAGTAATCATTAAACAGAATTTTTGAAATACTGTATTGGTGTTACTAATATTTAATTTACTTAATTTGGCTTATAGGCAGTGATATTGGTCTTATTTTGTAACTATAAATAGTAGTGTAAGAAAATTGAAAAATGTATCAGAGATTCAGAGTTGGTTTGATAAATTATTATTTTGTGATCAAATTTTTTTCTGGTTGAGTAAGTAGTGCATAAAGATTTCCAATTATGATTTTTAAAGCTTGGTGAAAAAATATTTTGGCTTTCATTATAGTGAAATTCCATTGTGTCTTTTCACCTTTAAGTGGAAAAGCATTGTACTTTTCTGCAGTGAGCTGAGCTAGTATTGCTTTATCTAAACTAAAACTATTGGATTTTGTTAATATGGCATATAGTAATTTAAATTTAATGAGTTTGGTTCCTTTGCCTTGTCTTTCATAAGATGTGCGTGATTGTTTCAAAAACATAACTTGGAGAAATACTAAAGAATTGTGAGTTGGTATAGATAGCCCCAAACATTCTCTGTTCTAAGATGGAATAAGAACAGGAACTGATTTGCTGGGAGAGTGGAGGCAATGAATAAACTCAACATTGGTGACTCTGTATTTTTGTTTCCACAGCAAGAAAAATTCCTGTTGCCTTTAAAACAAAATGGAAAAATATGAAAACCTAGGTTTGGTTGGAGAAGGAAGCTACGGAATGGTGATGAAGTGTAGGGATAAAGACAGCGGGAGGATTGTGGCCATCAAGAAGTTCTTAGAAAGTGATGATGACAAAATGGTTAAAAAAATTGCCATGCGAGAGATCAAGTTACTGAAGGTGAGTAAATGAGCTGTTTCTTTCTTTTTTTTTTTTAATATCAGTACTGGGTATCGAACTCACTACCACGTGCTTGCAAGGCAGGCACTCTGCTGAGCTAAATCCCCAGCCCCTAATGAACTGTTTCTTTTTCTTTTTTATTGGTACCAGGAATCAAACTCAAGACCACACACTTGCAAGGCAGGTGCTTATGCCTCTGAGCCAAATCCCCAGCCCCTTGAGCTGTTTCTTTCAAGATTAGCTTTACGGTTGTAGGAAAAAATTACTGTGGCTTAATATTTGCTTTGCTTTATAATAAAATTTTAATATGTAAATTTTTTTGCAGAAACAAAAATTTCTTGAATTTAAAAATTTTGTGATGTGCTGGGCATGGTGGTGCACACCTATAATCCCAACACTTGGGAGGCTGAGGCAGGAGGTTTGCTGCAAGTTTGAGGCCAGCCTGAACTGCATAGTGAAACCCTGTCTCAAAAAGACCAATAAATAAATTTTTAAAATTCATGATGTAAAACTTAAAAAAATGTTTTTTCTATCTGCCAGCCTATCAGTCACGTATCTCTTATCTGTGTTGGCATCCCAAGAATGCCAGGGTCACTGAGCTTCGGGGCATTTGGTCCTCTGCAGGCAGCTGCCTCCAGTGGGGCCACTGCAGGGTGTGCAGTTTTCCTCAGCAAGCAGCATAAGGAGGTCTCAGGAGACTCACCAGAGACTCCATCTGGAACTTTCCAAAATCCCTTTCCTTTTGAGGGCTGGCAGGTGCTTCTGGCATAGTGAGCCAACACACCAGTCCTAGAAAAGAAACAAAGACTCTGTGTGCCAGCCAAGGATCCACTTTGTATCTTCATCATAGGATTTTGTTTTTTATTTCATTCTTCCTGCTTATTCTGGTTTATTTTGCAGCTCTTTTTTCCAGCATGTTGAGACACATTTTCACTTTTCCCATTTGCACACCCTTTCTGATACACTCACTTAAAGGTGTTCCTTGCACAATGTAGGAGTCTCAGACAGCATATATATCTGCAATGCAGCAGTCCTTTGGTATGTATCCTAGACATTTGATTATTATTTCAAAATATTTTATCATTTTCATTATAATTTCCTTGATCTGAATTCTTTAATTTATAGTACATCTTTATTTATTTATTTTTTGTGCCAGGGATCAAACTCACGATCTTGTGCTTACTGGGCAAAGCATTTGAACCACTGAGCTAAATCCCCGGCCTAAAGAATGGCTTTTGTTTTTGTACCGGGGGTCGAACTCATGACCTCACACTTGCAAGGCAGGCAGTTGCTTATGCCGCTGAGCTAAATCCCTGGCCCAATCTGAATTATTTAAAAGTTTCTTTTTAAAATATAGTTCTTAATTTTCAAACATCTTGAAATTTTCTGGGCTTTTTCTTCCTCTGGCTAGTTATTTATGACACAGCTGCCCGGTGATCTGAGTAAATACTATATAAGAATGTGTTCTTTGAAATTTCTTGGTATTTGGTATAGAATGTGGTCAACTAAAAGTTTCCTTGTGCTCCTCAAGTGTTCTGTGGATGGCTTTTAGGTCATGTTTGTTGATTGTTGTTATTCTGTGTGTCTTGATGTCTGCCCAAAGCCTTACAATGTTCGGGCTTCTGGAGTATGAGATTGATCCAGAGTCCGATGCTGGGATTATAGCTGTGAGTGCTACACCCACCATAGGGTGGGCAGTCTACATACAATATAAGGGAAGGAAGGAGGCTTGCTTCTCCCTTTTGCTCCTTTTTGCTCTGGTTACTTTTTGCTGTCTTCAACCTCCCTGAACTGTTGCCCCTGTGCCATGCCACCCTGCCTTGGACCCAGCAGATTATGGACTGAAACCTGCACAAATTGTGAGCTAAAAAAACTTTTCCTTCTTTAACTTTGGGTGTCAAATATTTTTTGTCTCAGCAACAAGAGAAAAAAAGTAACCAAGACAAAATTTGGTATTAGAAAAGTGGGGTTGTAGGGGCTGGGGATTTAGCTCAGCGGCATAAGTGCCTGCCTTGTAAGCAGATAGTCGTGAGTTCGATCCCTAGTACCGGTAAAAACGAAAAAGACAAAAAAAAAAAAAAAAAAAAGAAAAGTGGGGTTGTTGCTGTGCCTGTACCTGACCATGTGGTCAAGAGCCTTTGGGAATGGCTTGTGGGAAGAGTTTGGAAAGGTTCTGAGATATCGCCTGAAAGAGTAGCCCTGAACACCTTAGATGGTTCTGTTTGGGGGATTCTGATCAGGAGACCACAAGGTTGATAGAAATTCTGCCAGTAAAGACCAGGTTCGGGAAGTTTTTGCTGGGAAGGACTGCATTGGTTGTTGGAATTCAGGTGATGTGTGTTATGGCGTGGCAGAAAATTTGCATTTTGCTCATGTCCAGAGACTTTGCCTGAGACTGTAATTAAGGGTGGTGGAGCAATTTATCTGGCAAAAGAAATTTCAAGGTGGTCTACTTTTGAGGTGGTGCTATGGCTATTCCTGGGGGCTTTTAGCCGGATTTCTGTTGGAAATCAAAGCAAAGAGCCCAGCAGAATGATTTAAAACATTGTGGAAAAAAACTTGGTAAAACTGTGGACTGCAAAGATAGAGCTGAGAAGATCTGGATACTGAGAAGGGACAGTAGACTATAAAAGATGGCCTGAGGGCATCACAAGAAGCAGCAAGTCTCTCCTCTTTGCAGTCTGAAAACTGCTAAAGTGAAAGGTTTTGCTTTGACAAGACAGCTGCAGAACACCATGTTCCAGAATGGCAGTGGCATAGGAATTTGTTCCTCAGAATCAGGGTCAGAGTACTCAGTGGTCCAGGGTTCGACCCCTACAACCAAGAGTAAAAAAAAGCTTGGTTGGCTACTGCCCCACCTTGCAGCAGATCTTGGCATCATCCATGTCCGTGTGGTTTTAGGCACAAGCAGAATGTGAGAGTTCTGAGGTTAAGAAGGCTTCCATTCACATTTCAGCAGAAGGCCTGGGAGCTCATGCAATGTGATGGTGTGTGAAGCTGTGAGTGTGAAGCCAAAAGTGCAGTGGAGACCAAAGAATTTTGGAAAATCCAGAAACAGATTGTCTAAGAAAAGCTTCAAGCATTGAGCAGAGTGGGCCTGAGAGAGAAACCCTAGGCACTATAAACATCAGAAGTATTGTAGGGAACGAGTTACACAAGCCTTCTTGAGCTCACAACTTACCACAGATTGCGTCCGATGTTCTGCATGGCATTTTGGACTTGCGTTGGTCCCATTCCTTTGTGTCCCTGTTGGATCTTTTGGTACATTCTTTTTTTTTTTTTTTTTTTTTTCTGTACTGGGGATTGAACTCACCTCATGCTTGCTAGGCAGGCACTTATACCACTGAGCTAAATCCCCAGTTGTATCTTTTGGAATGAAAATGTTTATCTTGTGTCATTGTATATTGGAAGTGTTTAACTTTGATTTCGTCTGTACGGGGCTCACAACTCAGAATTTGCCTTAGATCTCAGAGGAGACTTGGGACTTGGACTTTTCATCAATGTTAGGACTTTGGCACTGCTTAGAGATGGACTAAAATACCTTTTGCATAAAAGGATGTGCATGAGTCTTCGGCGGTCAGGGCGGAATGTTACATCATTTATCATCTATTGGATTGTGGTTTCTGATATTTCTTATGCTGTCTTATTACTTTGCATGCTTGCTTTTCTGATCTTTGCTGGATGTGATTTTCGAAAGATGTTTTTAGGGATCTGTTGGCAATAACCTCCACCAGAAAGTTTCTGCTTCCTTTTTTTGTGTTCCTAGGCCTGTGCTGGTATTTATTATGTCTCAGCTCCAAATCCCTCCATCCTGGACCTGCCTGTGGTTCTGGACCTTAATTACTCTTAATTACTCTCTACCAGAGTTTTGTTTTTGTTTTTGGTCTTTTTGAGACAGGGTCTCATTATGCAGTTTAGGCTGGCCTTGAACTCATAGCTCAGGCTGATCTTGAACTGGCAATAGCCCTCTTGCCTCAGCCTCCTGAGTGCTGGGATCACACTGACTCTATTAGAGTTTTGGAGTCCAAGGTTTGGTCACTAGTGAGTGGGCACGACAGAACACTGTTTTTCCTTCACAGGAGGAGGAAGAGGCACTTCCCATTCAGTTGCTTGCTCTCTATCGAAATTCTGGCCAAGAGTCAATATCGAAAACCTAGCCAAGAGTCCCGATTGTCAGCCTCAAGAATGCAGTGAGAGAAATAAAAAATAGACAAGTGTCATATTCGAACAATGACTGGGAAGTCAATGTCCCTGGCTCTGCTGCTTTCACTCCCAAAGCAGCCACTATTTATTTGGTCTACACGGTGATAAGGTGGGGCTAGCAAAGGATTACAGTTCATCCAAAGACTCCAATTCCAAAGAAGTATTTCGAAGTATCTTGGCCTGAGTGTAATCCTGTGATGATTTAAGAAGGCATAGATGATGTTAGCTTGGAAGAGTCAATGGGAAGTCCCAAATGGGTGGTATCAACAATCTCAATCCTTCCTTTCATCCCACAGGAAAATACACAAAACCAGTCACTGTGAATTTGTGGTCCCCAACACTCTCCTGGACAGCTGAGTGTAGTGCAGGTGGGGATCTGGTGATGGGCAGGACCCTACTACTCCTCCAGCTTTGTGCGGTTTCTCCCCATCCCTGTTGGCCACACTGCAGATCATCTCTGTGTCCCCCAGCGAATGGGTTACTGGAGAGCTAACATTTCCGGAACCACCGTCCACTTCCTGGTGAAGGCTGAATCCTTGTGGTGGCAGGGGATGCTTTTCAGTTATTACTTTCTTCCTGTGTACTTCAATGTTAGAAGTACTGGTAGTAACTGTTCTATATTTGCTGTTCTAACTTCTCCCTTAGCCAAGTGTGGTGGTACATGCCTGCCATTCCAGCTACTCGGGTGGTTGGGGCAGAAGGATTGCAAGTTTGAGACCAGCTTAGAGAACTTAGTGAGACATTATCTCAAAATTTAAAAGTTTAAAAGAACTCGAAGTATAGCTCAGTAGTAGTGCACCCCTGGGTTCAGTCTTCAAAATTACTACGAAAAATCCCTCTGGGTCATCTTTTACCACTTTTAGTAATTAACTACTGTCTTGGTTACTTTTCTCTCATTGCTGAGACAGAATACCTGATGCCCAAAATTAGGGAAGGGAAGGTTTATTTATCTTACAGTTTTGGAAGTTTCAGTCCATATTCAGCTGGTTCCAAGGCAGGTTGGCATGGTGGGCAGCCAGTCATAGCCACCACAAACAACAGGAGTGAACAGCACAAAAAGAGAAAACACTCCTTCTTCCTGCCCTTACACTGGCTCCACTCGTGGGTGGGTGCAGCACTCACACCACTAATCCCAATGCTAGACAATAAACCAATCACAAACGCTAGATTTAGCTGCCTCGGTGACTACATGAGGCTTGGGAAGGGCGCATCTGAACACAAACCATAACAACTACCTATGCTAATTAACAATTAAAGTTTATATCATTCTGATTTCTCTTTGATACAGACACTGCCAGCTCAGGACCTGCTTATCAAGTTCACAGTCCTTGGGCTTTTGCCTGTGGTGTCTTGTTTCCTTGTGGTTCTCATTATTCTTTTGTTTTGCCTATCTTTTTTTGAACATATAGTTGTGGAAACTTTTTGAGGCTCAGGTAAAGGTGCCCACCTCCAGAGGTGACCCTGCTTCAGCCAGGTGCCCAGGGTTCTGTGTGTGCATTAACTCACATCTGAGGTCGGGACCCTGGGCACTGCAAAGGTGGTATCTGGCAATGGTGCCAGGTTTGTTTTTCACCTGTGTACTTGGGAGTGAATCAGCTTTAGGATCCAGTTTCACCCAGGTGGTTTCCCCAAGGCCTTGTCTCTATGGCTTTTGGAGTTGACGTTTGCCTTTAAACCTCCAAGGGTCACAAAGGGGTCATGAAGTTCAGTTCCTTTTCTGTTGCCTCCTGGCACCATCCACTTTGAGCCGTGAGGGACACTCTGCATTTTGCTGTTCTTGATTTAGGCCCAAGGATCCTCCCTCTCTTGAGAGCTTTTTATATTTCAAAAGATTTTTAAAAATTTGTTTCACCTAATAAGAATTCCTCGTTGGAGTTGTTCAGTCTGTCAGTATCAAAGGAGGTAGTCTGCGTTTAATAATACAAACAGTGCAAAGACCAAGCGAGTCCTACGGAACTGAGTCTATTTTATTCATGAGTACAGGACAGAACAGCAAGGAGGACTTTATGTGTGGTAGGAAAAGGGTATTTTCCTGATGCAATAGTCTTACATTTTTATAAAGAATAAAATGTTTCATATTTGGGAAGCTGAGGCAGGAAGATCACAAGTTTGAGCCTAACTTAGTCAGGTTAGTGATAGAGCAAGACCTTGTCTCAAAACAAAAAATTGAAAAGGGACTGGGAACATAGCTCACTGCAAAGACCCTGGTTCTATCCTCAGTACTCAAAAAAAAAAAAAAATTCTATAAGAAATGCACCAAAACAGTCTTTAATTAACTGATGAAATATTTTCTTAATTTGCTGAAATAACTTATTAAAGACTTGTACTATCAGGATATAAGATATAATGTGAAAGTGTGTGTTTTATTAATGGACACTGATTATGAGTAGCTTTTCCTATGATCTCCTATTACAAGTTATCTTTTAAATCTTTGAACTTTCAACTCTTGGAATGGAGAACTATAATTTTACATCTAAGAAAAGAAATATATTTTATATATTTTCTTCTTTCCTCTAAAAGAGGGGCAACTCCAAAGCCTTCCTCAGGCCTCCAACCTAAAAGTTGTAGTAGGCCATGTTTTGAGGGGGTCCTGGCCCTGCGGGGACGGGTTCTGCAGTTCATGAAATGCCGTGCGCTCGGCAGTTGTGACTTAGTGTTTGGATCTCACTCCTTAGCTGTCGCCAGGTGGTAGCAGGTGAGTTTGTGATGACCATGCTGACACCTGAACTGCTCATTCTGGCAAAAGCCTATTTTTTAAATGGTGAAACCCATTTACACTGTTAACTCCTTTTTTGGTTGTAAATGTCTGTCTGAGACAGGAAAGTCAGCCCAGTCCACCGGGTGTGTTAGTGTGAGGCCCTGTGCAGGTGGTGAGACCATGTTGGCTGGCTGGTGACTGTGCTTGGAGCAGTGCCTGGGACGGAGTCTGTGTTAAGTATGTGTTAACCACGTACCATATACGATGGTACATGGTTTTGTTCTCTTAAAATGTTTTTATGGCCTCTGAATTCCTTATATTGTGTCTCTTCTGTTCACTTGAAAAGGTTTTATTTTTTACACTTGGTTACCTTACATCTTAAGAGTATATAATGTTTACTGCTTTGTAAAGTGATTTTTCTGTTCCCTCTCTCTTCAATGCATCTTCAGTGCATTTGTGTTGTTGAGCTTATAACATTCATTTCTACTTTATTTTTTATTTTAAAGAGACTAAAACCAAACAAAATAAAACAGAATAAAGCCAATCAGAACAAAACAATGAAAGCAATACAGGACTTCAAAACAAAACAAAATAATAGGAACAGTGGCTACCATAATGGCTCGTTATCTTCAAAATAGCTGCCCATACCATCAGACCTAATAAAATAAACAAAACAGAATAAAACCAAACCAAACAATGAAAACAATACAGGACTTCAAAACAGAATAACAGGAAATTAACAGCTGTCCAGACATAGGCTATGAAATTAACCAGACAATACAAGAACTAAGTTGCTTCTTCACTCCAGTTGTTATCTTCTCAGAAGTTTCAGGAAAGTGACTTCTAATTCCTGCTGTATCTGTGTCTCCTGAACCTGTTCTGTGTGGGCTGAGGTCTGAGATTGTGTTTTGCTCTTTCCTCTTGACATTTTCCTGGGTTCCTCCCAGTCAGCCCCTTGCTGCACCTGGAGTGCTTCCTGCATTGGCTACCAGTTCCTCAGTATAGCGGATTGGGCTCTGCACTAGGGTTCCTCTGATCCACAGTTCCTGGAGTGGAGGAGAGGCATGGGCAGTGTTTCACCAATACTCCCCCAATTCATTTTCTCTTTTAACCACGGAGCCCACATTTGTATAAGACTGAGTCCTGTACTAAGTGGATTCACCACTCACATTCAGAACTTTTTCTGTGGTTTTCTTAAATGGCAGCTGCCTTTGGTCTGAATTCAGGCTTTTCTTCAGGATTTCAAGATCTTAGTTCCTTTTGATAAGTGGCAACCTATTCTTTTTCTTTCTTTGTGGTGAATGTTAATCTCCATTTGTATTCCTTCTTGTTTCTTATAGTACCTTTGAGTGGCTCTGGACTGGCTCTCTCTCTCTCTCTCTCTTACCCCCCCCCCCTTTTATTGCTTCTTATGCTGCCATGGTTCTGGGGCCAACTGAGAGGGTGAGGTCACCTGGGCAGAGGCCAGGATCTTGTCCCAGGCTGGCACCCATAACAGCTCACAGTGACGTCCCCTGTGATGCTGGTAGGTGGGATTGAATTCTCTGCGATGTGTAGTTTTAGATTTGTTCCTGATGATTTGTTATGTCTGCTCTGATGATGACTCTGGCCAAGGATCCCTATGTGGCTCTTGGTTCAGCCCCCTTCCTGCCATTCCTAGCACCCTCTGCTCTAGGGATCTTCCACATGGCAGCAGTGATGTGTGTGTCCCTTGCAGGCTGTGCCCTGCCTTGAGGACTCTTGCCTGGGTGGTGCCCAGATATATGGGCTCCTACCCCATTGTCTGCAGGGACGGCTCAGATGCCTGTGGTTTCATCAAGGACGGAGTTGGCTTCATTGTATTCTCTGAGATTGGCAAGGAGCAGTTTGATCATTTGACCGCATTTAAAAAGCAGAATAGACTTTTGTCATGTCCAGTTTATGCATTTTACCTATACATTTGCCTTATGCTCAGATCTATTTTATCATGTGACTAATTGCTATTAATTTGTCCTTATAAAAACTGTTTTGCATTTTTTATAACAGCAACTGAGGCATGAGAATTTGGTTAATCTGTTGGAAGTGTGTAAGAAGAAAAAAAGATGGTACCTGATCTTTGAATTTGTTGATCACACAATTCTGGATGACTTGGAACTCTTTCCAAATGGACTGGACTACCAAGTAGTGCAGAAGTATTTGTTTCAGATTATTAATGGAATTGGCTTTTGTCACAGTCACAATGTAAGTATTAAGTTTAAGTAATTATTTTGCTAGTCCTTGACTATCCAGACAGTAGTCTTAGTAAGGTATTTATATAAAGTTTTCATCAGTTAGCCAGGCATGGTGGCTTATGCCTGTAATCCCAGCACTTGGAAGGCTGAGGCAAGAGGATTGTTGCGAGTTTGAGATCGGCCTGGGCTACAAAGTGAACTCAAAGCCAGGCTGAACTGCATGGTAAGACCCTGTCTACAAAAGACCAAAAAAAAAAAAAAAAAAGTTTGTATCAGTAAAATAATTGAAATGAACCACATTACTTTGGTATTGCTGGTTTTCCTGTGTCATCATACTTGTATTCTTTCCTCTCAACACATTAAAATTTTTCCATAAGCTGGGCATGGTGGCAAACACCTGTAATCCCAGCATTTGGGAGGCTTAGATGGAAGGATCTCTGTAAGTCTGAGGTCAGCCTGGACTATGTGGTGAGTTTAGAGCCAGCCTGAACTACACGGAAAGAGCCTGTCTCAAAAAATAAATAATTAAATAAATAAAAATTAGGCCATAGTGAAACATTGAGAGGATGCAAGATTAAGATTGGCAACCATACTATCTAAATTTTGAACTAGTTAACATTTTGCTGTGCAAGTTGCAGGCAGTAGTACACTTTTCAACGCTTAGTGGTTCACCTGTGTGTGTCATAGACTTGTCTTAAGTATTCATTTGCTTTTCTTTAGGGTAGCATTTGCTGTGTGAAGCTGCACAGACTGAATGCCAGGTCTCAACATGCACACACTCCCAGGACCTGCATGTTTGTTAGCCCAGGCACTGGCACCTGGTTATGAAGTATGGAAGCTCAGAGAGCTCTCCTCTTACACTGTAGTTTACTGCAGTAATTTCATATGTCTGGAGTGCCACAGAAAAGCACCTCCAGGAAAAGTGACACCTATGGGGTAAAAATGAATCGCACAACACTTAGTGTATCAGTTTTATAAAATACCTGAACACGTTTTGTATGATTGTGGAAGTAGTAACTGCTAACACTAGAAACCCTGAGCCCTGAGGTGGCTCGTAGAGGCCCTAAGGGCTACCACAGGCAGGCAAGCACAGCACTGGGCTGCTTGCTGGTAGAGCGGGCATGAAGCAATGCGTTGCCTTGGGCGTTCAGCCTGCATGGGCTCCATGTGCTTTCCTCGTTATGCTCTTGTGACTGATGAGGCTGTGTTTAATAACACCCCACCTTTGGGTGTACCAAGTCAGGGCTGTGTTTAATAACATCCCATCTTTGAGTGTACCAAGTCAGCTGCATTGGGGGAAGGTTGCCAGCTCGGTGCTGTTCTGTCTGTAAGGCAGGAGACATTACTAACCAATGCCTCCATCCCTATACCCCAGAGGGTGCGCGTTCCTGTTTAAATTGTGTGTGGTGTAGACTGTCCTGTGTAGAGGACGGGTCTCTCTCCAGTTTGTGACCACTTCTGTAGGGGAACCTCAGTGCATTGCCAGGCAGGCGTGCTGCCACTGCTCATCAGTCACTCACTTCCAGACCCTTGCACACGCTGGTCGCATAGCCCCTCTTGCCAAGCCTTGAGCTCCTCGTCTGCATCCTCTCTACCAGGCCCCTGTGCAATAGAAAGAGTACTGGTATCTGTCTCAGGTGAATGTGTGGACAGAGTAAGTTAAAATATGTGAAGTACTGAGACAAGTGTCTGACACATAAATGGCCACATGTGATCTATCACGATTTATTAATAAGTGTACCCTAAGACCTTGCTTACTTGGCAGTTAGCAAAATTGTGGTGGGAGAGGGCATAAGTAAAAAGCATGCCACAGACACATGCACACACATACCCGAGGTCAGAATACCTGGATTTAAGAAAATGTAAACACTGATTTTTAACATAGTATCTGCAGGTGTATGCATCTACATGTATGAACACTTGAATTAAAATTAAACGAATCGTTTGTGGGGCAGACTGAGTATTAAAAAATAATAAAGGCTGTTGTTAATTCAGGTTTGACCTAAATAGCATAAGACATTATGCAGTATCCGTAGATCCCTAAAAAACTTCTTTGCTAGAGTTACTGGGTGTGACAAATAGTTCACTGAGTTTGTGCCTGCTGTTAAAAAGACCCACATCAGGGCTGTGCTTTCATCAGTTCTCTGCCCAGCCCAGTGTGTCCAGAGAGTGAAGGTGTGATCATGCTGTCGTGCTCCAGTGTGGGTTCCATTTGGGCTGTGTGGGAACCTGACGGTCCTGCTCCTGGGGCTCCTTGTTTGGGGCCTGAGGGGACCAACCCAGAAGGCTTCCCGCTGCTGGCTTTGCTCTCTCCCCGCCCATCTGCTGCTGTTTCTGCAGCTCGGTTGGCCTGGTCTGGGCCTGTGTCCCCATAGTGACACCGGAGGGTACAGAGGCTGCTCTGCAGTGACGGCTGGCCATGTACCATGCTGGCCTTTCAAAAGGGTTGAAAACAAATAGTTAAAATTTTCAAAATACGCTTCCATTAGGCATAGGCCTAATAACTTGTTTGGCCTGGCATAGAGCTGTTGAGACTACGTCTGTCTCCACATCCTGTCACTGCTTCCAGAGTTCCTCCCGTGGCAACGCTAAGGCCGCATCCCTTCCGGTGGACTTTGCATGGGTAGCTCCAGTTGGGCTGCAAAACCAGCGCGTTGGTCTTACACAGCTGTGTTCCCCCTTCCGGCCTCCACCGAGAAGACACAGCCCTGGTCCCTGACCCGATGCCGTCTCATCCTGCCCTCCTTGCTGGTCCACCAGGCTCCCTCTCAGTCTCCGTCTGTTCAGGTCAGTCAGCATTAGGACCTGCAGAGAGCCACACCATTGAGAGAGAGCTTGACGGTAGTCATCAGCTGGAGGGTTGATTTGTTAATCAATATGCCTTTGATTCCTGTTCAGTTTGTTCAAGTCAGGATGGGTGCAGTTTCTCGCTCAGTGGTTCTATGAAGCCAGGACCATTACACATGTCTTTCTTTTGGTGCCCCAGACCTTTTTGTCTAACTCTGCTGTGTGCTTTTTGTCTTAGATCATACACAGGGACATAAAGCCAGAGAACATCTTGGTGTCCCAGGCTGGTGTGGTGAAGCTGTGTGACTTTGGGTTTGCGCGCACGCTGGCTGCACCCGGGGAGGTGTACACAGACTACGTGGCCACCAGGTGGTACAGGGCGCCAGAGCTTCTGGTTGGAGATGTCAAGTACGGCAAGTAAGGCACCAGCACACGGGAGGAAGGAAGCAGAAGGACCTGCTGGTGCTGGGAGGAGGGGTGGAGTAGGTGGCTGGGCTGTGAAACGAGAAGGAGGTGCCACTCATGTCCCTCAGCGTAGAGCACTGGCTTGTCCTGTGTAGCAGAAAGGGGTAGAAGAATTGTGGGAAATAGATTTTAGACCTCAGTTGTCAAGCCAGGCTTCAGGCACACACGCATGCTCCCAGAAGTCCAGAGTGCGAGGCGAGGACGGTCGAGAGTAGGAGGCTCCACAGCAAGACCCTGTCTCCAAAAAGAAGCCTTCATAAGTGGATTCTCTTCTCTTCACTCTTTTACACACACACACATGCACACATACCCTTGTGGTCGTGAGATGGCACCTATGGACCAAGCACGGGCTGGGTCACTGTTCTGCTGAGCCACACCTTCAGTTCTTTAAAGAAGAGAAGACTGACCTTCACAGCTTTGTGTTACGTGGTTTGTTTGTTTGTTTGTTTGTTTTTGGGCTTTTTGAGACAGGGTCTCACTGTGTAGCCCAAGCTGGCCTCAAACTTGCTGCAGTCCTCCTGCCTCAGTCTCCAGGGTGCTGGGATTACACATGTGTGCCACTACGCGTGGATTATTTTTCTGGTTTTTGTTGTTCTGTTTTCTTTTTGAGACAGGTTCTTACTATATATGCTGACCCTGAACTTGCCTCAGTCTTCATTGCTTTTGTTAGAAATCTTTATAAAATATTTTCCACATCTTCTGTTTTCAGAGTTATGTTCAGCATCGTCTAATATTTTCTTAAACACTCTGAGTTCTCATTTTACTGTCTTTGTTATAATTTTTTGTGCCATTTGTAATTCAGAAATGAGCTCAGGTTACTTCAGAGTTGTTGCTGTGCTAAGTGATGTTCATATATTCTTTGGTTCTTGTGAGTGATATTTTTTTGTCTTTTTTTTCCTTTTTATTGGTACCAGGGATTGAACTCACGACTGCCTGCTTGCAAGGCAGGAGCTTATGCCGCTGAGCTAAATCCCCAGCCCCAATATTTTTGTTTGATTTTTGCAGTGCTAGGATTAGAACCAGGATCTTACACATGCTAGGCAAGGGCTGTGTGACTGAGCAGTATCTCTAGCCCCTGTGACTGATTTTTAAGATGTTCAAAGATGTTGTCCCTATTAGCTTCCATTCCTAGAACTGTCTCTATGGCAGCAGCCACCCGTTTTCTGGTGTGCTTTTGCGGTGTGTCTGTAGTGGTCTGTCCACCTTGGTAGAATCCTGTGTATGTAAGAGCCCAGGCTCTGAATGAAAGCCTGAGTCTTCCAGGATGAAGTACACATAAAGACAGTTTTGTCTTTTCAGAAGCCTTTGCTTGTTATGTCACACAATTGCAGTTTCTGGAGTTCCCACTGTTAACATGAGGAGCTGGAACTCAAGAACAGCATCCTCCTTGGATAATTTACAGGCAGTGATATGCAGAACAGAGCCGTGTATGGACGCGGGATCTGACCACCTTGCTTCTCTCCAGGGCTGTCGATGTCTGGGCTATTGGTTGTCTGGTAACAGAGATGCTCACGGGGGAGCCCCTGTTTCCGGGAGACTCTGACATTGACCAGCTCTACCACATTGTGACGTGTTTAGGTAAGGTGATGATCTGTATCTTACATTGTTCAGGGGTTCTCTCCTTTGTGTTGATTTTTTAAAGTCATTGGTATAGTACATTAAACAGGACATAGATTTTAAGTGAAGGTAGGGAGCAATTAAAAAACCACACTCACAAGGCATTCGGCGAAATCCAGCTGTTCCCCTGCTTCTCACCGTCAGGATGAGATTGGGTGAGGTGACCCTCAAGGGCTTTGGGCAGAAGGTCACAGCTAGAACAGTCTCACGTATGCCAGAGCTCTGACTTCACATTCAGATATAGAACTTGGAAGACAGAAATAATGAGAACACTGGGGTAGTTTCACTGTTTGAGTTCTAAATTTCCAGGCTAGGAATTCAGTAAACTGTTAAAGTGTTTGCTTGCACATAAGTATTTTCATATGCATTTCATTACACAGTACATATTAAAGTGGAGAAAAAAGATCTGATGCTCAAATCTGACCCTAGGCAAAGACACAAGATCATTCGACAGAAAATTCTTAGAGGCAGAAGCCTGTGGCTTAGAGAGACCATGTCCCTCTGGCTGATTGTCATTATTTTGGTCAGCTCATCGTAGTTTATCTTCAGAGATGGAGTGTGAGTGCATAGGTCTGTAATGCTGTAAGATATGCTCCCCTTGTCCATTTCCTGTATTCACCATCAACTCTACTCGTCTGAGTGAGATTGCAGTGTTCAAGTCCTTGAGTTGACTTATGGTGAAACCACCAGGCAGACGGCCACGTCCCGCCCAGTGACTTTGACGCAGGTCCCAACCTCCATTCCCTGCGTCTACCTCTCCCAGACCTGGCTCTTCTCTTAGACGTGGAGGTGTGTGCTGCTTTTGCTTCTAGGTAATTTAATTCCAAGACATCAAGAGCTGTTTTATAAAAATCCTGCATTTACCGGAGTACGACTGCCTGAAATTCAAGAAACAGAACCTCTTGAAAGACGCTATCCTAAGCTCTCTGAAGTTGTGATGGATTTAGCGAAGGTAATCATTCTTTTTCTTTTCATTTTGTGATAAGGAATTTATGGATTGTAGAGACTTGTTTCTCTCTGTAGTTCTAGAGGATCCTTTAGGTCTGCAGTTTCCTCTGATCACCTTGATTCTCATACAGTAAGGAAGAGTTTAAATAATTTGGTGTGTGTGGGAACTTCAGTAATGAAAGCTTTAAAATCGTATGTTGTAAAACTCATTAAGAAACATTCATGGTTATCTAGCATGTTTTAAGTGTGAAGACATTCTCCTCTAAAAAATCTAAAAATGTAAAACTAAATGTTTATATGGAAAGGAGAAGAAAAGTTAGAAAGTTAGAAAAGTAGTAAAATGCCAAACACAGGATCATGACCTGTATTGCAGTATCCAAGGGACCCTTGTATAGACCCTGGGCTCCTGAAGTCTGTTTCCAAATGGCCTTTACTTTCACCATGTGTGAGGAAGCTGTTGAGGTTCTCAGCGCCGCAAGCTGGTGCTCAGCTCGGAAGGTATCTTTAGCTGGGACTCTGCAGAGTAGCAGACACACAGGATCACGTGACTTCTACCCAAGACTTGTCATTTTTGCTTTAACCCTTTAAAAAAGTTTAGTACACTTGTAACTAATTGTATCGTGTTTAGAATAGTGTATTTCCACTTTTCTACATAATCTCACAAGTGAAAGTTTTCACTGAGATCAGATTTATGATCTGTCTGTAAGGAGACTTGAAGGGCATGAAGGTTAAATTTCTCATCTACTTTTGTTCCGTAAGTCGAATCATATTTTTAAACATTTTATTATAAAAAATACCAATTACAGAGTTAAAAGACTAGAAGCATGGTCATCTCGTTGTCATCTGGCTTTGACAGTCACCACCCTGTATCAATCTATTCAAGCCTCCTTCAATGTTGGCTTTTTGGCGTACCTTCCTTTGTTGTTTGGTTGGTTCCTTTGATTTTTTGAGACAGGGTGTCATTATGTAGTTCAGGCTGGTTTTGAACTCACTGTGTAGCTTAGGCTGACCTGGAACTTAGAGCAGTCCTCCTGCCTCAGCCTTCTAGTACTGGGATTTTTGGCATATTTTGAAGCAAATTCCAGACATTGTGTTATTTCATAATTATTTGTGGAGCTTTTCTTGCTCATTTAAAACTACCAGCTGAGTTTCTTTTCTTTCTACAGCTACTTTTCTCATTGCTGAGACAAAATATTCCACATCCAAAAATAAGGAGGAGAGGTTTATTTGGCTCATGGTTTGTGGGAGTTTTAGTTCAAGCCACTCCACAGCAGGGTGGCTTAGCCGAGGGGCATCACATAGGAGAAATAGGCAGAGCAGGCAGAAGACAGCAAGCAGCTGGTGACAATGGCAGCCCTCTTTCTCCCCCTTCTATTCCATCCAGGCTTCCCACCCATAGGGCAGGTAGCGCTCAAACCCAGGTAGGACCTTCCCACCATCCACACCCAGGACTACGCAGACCAGTCAGTGGGCTAAGTTAGTAATCACACACTTTTAATCCCTGCACCACACACTTTAATGTGGAAAGGCCCCCAATGCCTGCATGAAGCTTTGGGGAACATCTAGACATAGCTGTAAAATACAGATATTGAGGGTTGCTATCGAGATCTTCTATAAAGCCCAGTAGCAAGTATAGAGGTGGTGTTTCCTCTCCATTGTACAACAGCTTTGAGTGTTAAAAAGTCACACTAACTTCTTCTTACCGTGAAACACACAATCATCGTCCAAGATTTTGCTTTTTATAATTTGAATTAAGATTAACATATAGATTGCAATTGGTTGATTATCTCTGAGACTTATCTGTGAGCTTTTCTGTTTTTTAAGACCTGGCTTGGGGGTGATTGGCCTGTCCAGGTTTCTGTGTTGTATTATTATGTATTTGTTTGTACATGTTTGTCAGACATAATGTTCACATTCACTTTAGGGAGTAGGATGTGTTTAACTTGTAAAGATTATTTTTATTCCCCTTTTCCTTTCCTTCCTCCCAGTTCCTCTATTCTAGATCTCTTCCTTCATTGCAAAGATCTCTCTTCCTGTTTCCTGCGATCTTTTTTATTTTGTTTTAAAAATTATTTAACTTTTCTCATAAGAGAAAATTATTTAATTCTCATGTAAGAGAAAATTATTTAACTTTTCCCATAAAAGAGAAGTTATGTGATATATAAGCCATACCTGATTTATTTCTCCTTACACTGTGGTCTCAACATGCATTCATTTCCCTACAGATGGATCCAGCCTATCCTTCTTTGTGGCAGAGTAATGTTCCATTGTGTATAAATGTCACACCTTCTTTATCTTTTCATCTGTTATGGACACACAGGGCTGCTGCCAAGGTGTTAAGAGCTGTGCTGCTATAATATAAGCCTCTTTTACTCTTTTGTTTCTGTTTGAATCTTGCAAAGTACTGAAGCAGCAAGGCTGTGTGTCCTACAGTGTAGTCAAGCCTGCTGGAGAGGAGAGCATAGTCAGAGTCAGATCACTTCCCTCGAGTTTGTTTATTCTACCTTAGAGGCATAGGGACCTGGGTTTTCTTTATGTGATATTAGCACCTGGTGGTCGCTTCCTAGAGTTGTACTTTCTCTCAATTATAGATGTTGTACTTACTCTTGATTATAGATGTTTAAAACCCATTGGTTGTTATGGGGAGCTTTGTGTTTTCCTGTGTAGTATCTGGGAACTTAAGTGTGGGCAGTTTCTCTTGGCTAAGAATTGTGTTTTGATTTTTCAGAAATGCTTGCACACTGACCCTGACAGAAGGCCACTGTGTGCTGAGCTCCTGAGCCACACTTTCTTCCAGGCGGACAAGTTTGCCGAGAGGTATGGCGCCAGCGCTTGCAGGCCAGGCTGGGGCGGAAGTGCAGTGAGGCTTCCTGCATGGTGACTGTGTTGATGCCAGCTGTCCCCTCCTTGGTGCTCCCACCCACTAAGCAGCGGGGCGGAGCCTGGGTGCTTCCTATGTCACTCCCGTTGCCCACCTTATCTCCTGGGGTGGCGTCTTGTCAGGTCCTTGAGTCCTTGGCCCTGCTGCTTGTGATGCTGTCCCATTGGTGCTGTGCATCTGCAGAGATGCCATGGCACCTCCTACAGTCACACATGAGCAAGCACGTCTCCCATGCTGCCACTGGTACTGCTAGGGTGCTGTGGCCCCTGGCTGTAGTGCTGCTCTGGTGCAGAGCAGAAAATAGTGAGGTCAGGAGCCCAGGGTTGCCTTACGGCTACAAATCTCATTTAACAACCAGTAATAGAGACAGTGAGGTTTTCTTTTTTCTTTTTGGACACACAGTCTTGCCATGTAGTCTAGGCTGCTCTTTTTTTTTTTTTTTTTTTTTGTCTTTTTCGTTTTTATTGGTACCAGGGATCGAACTCACGACTGCCTGCTTGCAAGGCAGGTGCTTATGTCGCTGAGCTAAATCCCCAGCCCCTCTAGGCTGCTCTTGAACCCACTGTGTAGCCCAGGCTGGCCTGAACTTGTAGTGATCCTCCTGCCTCGGCCTCCTGAGTGGATAGTTGGATTTTTGTGTTTGCTTTTACTTTCCATTACCTATGATAGGTTGTTTTGGTTGAAATATGTAGAGAAATTCCCTCACAAATGTGTGTTTGGGGCAGAGGAGGAGAATTGTAATAGCCTTTTTAAGTGATGATGGATGTTCTTTCATTCTGAGTCTAGTTCTGAAGCCCCGTCAGAACTTGGCCTGGTGCTCTGTAAATACTTCCTTCTGGAATCTGAACCCACATCAGTGTACTTTCTTTCAGCTGCTGCATTAAAACCCATTTGTGTCTTGTTATCTGAATGGTTCTTTTACTCATCAGTACTTTATTAACATCATCTGTTAGTCATTTGGAAAATTCTGATTTGGCTAAATTGTGGAGATGTTTCATTATGTAATATTTAAATTTCACATTCCATCTCATCAGAGGATTTTAACTGTTGAGAAGTTTCTAAGATCACAGGCTTCAAAGAATTCTAATTTTCTGTAAAGTTTGAATTTGATCATTGACAAATAGTTTCGTGTTTCTTAAAGTGACAAATTCAGTTTTCCTTTTTTGAAGAAAAATGTCTGCCACATCCACCGAGACTGAATAACTAGAGTGTTCTGCTGGTCTTTCTTGCTAGTGTGACTCACACCTTGTGGAAGGGAGGTCGAGTTGGGTTTGTGTCCGAGTCAGACCAGCACTGGTCATGGCAGCCACTGGCCTCGGGCGCAGAGGTCCCAGGCGCTCAGCGCAGCCGTGCTTGCCAGAGCACTGAGGAGGAGCAGGTCCAGGGTCTGGGTTCCCAAGGTCACGCTGTTGCCTCCTCTCCAAGGCAACAGCGCTCCAAGGCTTCTGGACGCACTGGCCTTTTCCTTTGAGCTCTTGGGATTGAGGAGTGAGCTTGCAGGGCTGTCGTGGGGCCAACAACCTTAGTTTGTGGCCTTGTCTTTGCACCATTTTCAGGGCTGGCATTTTCACATTAAGGACAGACCAGCATCATCTTTGTGCCCCTCCCAGAACGGCCCCAGGAGTCCCCAAAGGTTACAAGAGCCCCCGTTCCTTTCCTGGCTGTCATCTGGGCTGTATCTATTATAGATACCCCAGTTCCGTAGTGGCAAACCCACGGGTTTGTTCATTGAAAGCGATTCACCACCACTGCGGTAGTTCAGCACTCAGTTATTTTGTTGGTTTTGTTTTTAGATTTTTGAGGCAATGTTTCTCTGTGAAGTTCAGGCTGCCCTTGAACTAAGTATGTAGCCCAGGCTGGCCTGGAACTCACTGTGATCCTCCTGCCTCAGCCTCCAGGGTACTGGAATTACAGATGTGCATTACCATATGTGGCTCAGCCCTCAGTTTTTTAAAGATGCTCTGGAAAATCAGTTTTTTGTTTTTTGGGCTTTTTTTTGGTCTTTTTGAGATAGGATCTCATTATGTAGCCCAGGCTGGTCTCAAATCACAACAATCCTCCTACCTCAGCCTTCTGAGTACTGAGATTATAGGTGTTTGCCACCACACCTGGCTCGAAAATTGGGGTTTTTAAATATTTGTCTCTTACAATTTAATTTTACTGGTTTCTTTTTTTTTTTTTTTGGTTATTTTTATATAGATTTTCCCAGGAACTACAGTTAAAAATACAGAAAGAGGCCAGGAATATTTCTTTGCCTAAAAAATCCCAAAACAGAAAGAAGGAAAAGGAAAAAGATGAATGTTTAGGTGAAGAAAGGAAAACACTTGTGGTACAGGTAAATGTCCACATTTAAAATTTTAAATTTGGGGGGAGTGAAGGTTTTTGAGGTTTAAAGATTTTTGAGCCTTTAGCAAGCTGTTTCCATTTAGCCTTGCTGTGAGTGTGTCCATCCTGTTGCTGTGACCCTGTTACAAGCTGTGCCATGTTCCAAGTGCCTCCACGCACCTGACTTGTGCAGAAATGCTTGTTTAACTTGCTGGTGTAAACTAACAACTCCACTTTAAAGGGAGCCAGAAAATAGTTCATGCCAAGTCGACAGGAGCAGCTGTGGCCTGGGAACCCAGGTTCCCCTCAGTGACATTTTCTGCTGTGACAGAGGTGACATGAATGTTTACAGCTAGAGAACGTCACAGATAGAGTGCATTTACTCAGTTGGGGGGACACAGGTCGTGGGTTGTAGTTTAGCAGTGATCTTGACCGAAGCTCTCAGGGAGGTCGCATTTGGTCGAAGCTAGCGATACAACTCCCACCCCCATGGTCACGGGGGTGTTATATCAGGCCCCAGGGTTGGGGTGGAGGGCCTGTGGTGACCCAAGCATGCTTAGTTCTCAGCCTGCGGGATGCATGGGATGCAGCCAGCCAGGGCAGGCTGTCCGCAAGGTCGGGTGCAGACTCAGCTTCCTCAGAGAACCTCAGTGCCCTGCGCACCAGACTGAGCCTGTGAGCATGTATGTCCCTGTACACACACAGGGGCACACATTCACCCGCACCCTGGTCCTATTTCTCTTCCTTAAGTGACATGAAAAAAATTGTTCTTAGAATTTTGTGTAGAGCAAAGCATTTAAGAATTGACAAGTTTGGGCTGGGGATTTAGCTCAGCAGCATAAGCTCCTGCCTTGTAAGCACGTGGTCATGAGTTTGATCCCAGGTACCGATAGAAAAAAAAAGACTTGACCAGGACCAGTTCTTGATATGGCAACCCACTAACCCAAAGCAAACCAAAAGCAAAGTGTTCTCAAGTCTCTGTCCTTGGCTCAAAGTGGATGAACACAAAAGTGACAATCTCGCTTGCTCGTTCATGTTTTTCCCACTGAGCTTTATACACACACACACTGACACACAAATATAAAGGTCAGAATTAGTGTGAACTGTGTTCATGTTCTTTTTGTATTTTCACAATGACTATATGAATAAGAATCTGGATTTAATTTTAATGTCATAGAGAGTAAAGATGCCAGGGAAAGGGGCAAATTCTGCTCTAGGTAAAAGTACTTTCTAGGAAGAGGTCATTTTTCTTTTTTTTTTATTGGTACCGGGGATCGAACTCATGACCATGTGCTTGCAAGGTAGGCGCTTATGCCGCTGAGCTAAATCCCCAGCCCTGTTTTTCATTTTTTAGATCATTAACCTTCTTAATACTTTTATTAATGGTCAGGATGCCAATGCTGATGCCAAGACTAAAGATCCCAAAGTGTGTAAAACAAAAGGGTCCAAAGTTGATGGAGAGAAAGCTGAAAAGGGTACGAGAACTGCCAATGCCAGCTGTCTTCGGAACAGTGGGACCAGCCACATGCAGGCAGCGCCCTCAGACTGCCTTGGGGACCGTGGCAGCCAGGCCACCAAGGTCCCAGGCACTGCCATTCCTCCGCTGGCGCACACTCCATCTGCAGCGGCCCCTGGTGGTCACCCCGGAGCCCAGAGTTACAGGTACCCATCTAGAAAGCAAGGACACAGTATGGGAGGGTGTATTTGCCAGTCGTAAGTCTGCTGATTCACTCCAGCACAGGTCTGCACTCTGCTCTGAAGCTCTTCTTACTTGTCAGATAGCAGTTCCAAAACTTTATGACTTGCATGATGGAAGTTACTAGGATTTGATTTTTAAAAAAAATCCTATGAGTGCTAAGAACATGGGTTGTGATATTTAAGCCAGTTACTCCAGTAACTGAGAGGGGGTTATGACCAGGAGGGGGCACTCTGTGGCTGTGTGTATGCAGTGGGAGAGAAAGCCCCAGTGGCGTGCATCGTGCACTTGAGAACGGGCTCTGAGTCCTGATGGTGCTGCCTGCTGCTTGGTGGTGAATGTCATTTGGGTTTGCTTAAATGATTATCACAGCTTCTAACCGTGTTCGGTTTTTACAGAGTGGATGAGAAAACTAAGAAGTATTGCATTCCATTTGTTAAGCCAAATAAACACTGTCCGTCAGGAATTTATAATATCAGTGTGCCCGCACAGGTAAGTGAGGTGTTCTCAGGAGCAGAGTGTGCATGTGTCAGTCCTGGACGGGGATGACCATTAACTCTGATAGGAAGAACTAAGTTTCACCTGGATGCATAAGATGAACCATGAGGTTCATCTTATGGTTATTCCAGCCTGTCAGAGTCATAATTTGAAATTCTGGAAGTTTAGGTTTTGTAAGTCTGGAACATATTACTATAATGCTACGTGTGTGTGTGTGTGTGTGTGTGTGTGTGTGTGTGTGTGTGTGTGTGACAGAGAGAGAGAGAGAGAGAGAGAGAGAGAGAGAGAGAGAGAGAGGATTGAACCCAGAACCTTTGCACTGCACTACATCCCAGTCTTTCTTTATTTTTTATTTTAAGCAGGGTCTTGCTAAATTGCCCGGGCTGGGCTCAGACTCATAGCCCTCCTGCCTCAGCCTCCCAGAGTACAGAGATGACAGGCATGTACCACTGCAGCTGGCATCAGTGCCCTGTATTTCATTGTAGTCAGCAACATAGCAAACTTTCTTATTTCCCATAGTGCTGATTGAGTCTCTGTTTAGAGTAAGTGAGAAAATTGCCTTCATATCTGATCATCTGCGTATTGTGTGGAAGACACTAAAATTAGATGAAGTCGGTCTCGTTCCCTGGAGCTCAGGGCCTAGTTAAGGATGCACGGACTAGAAACATGCTGGGACTCAGTGCTAGCAGCACTGCAGGGCACCAGGGCAGCTGGGGAGGGAGCCTGGTGCACTCAGCACAGCCTCTGGAAGGCTGATTCCACAGTGGCATCAGGGCATTGCTGTCCTCTCGTTCAGTGCCTGTCTGCAGGAGCAGTGTCCCTAGTGTCCCTGCAGGGCCAGTGGGAATCTGCACAGGCAGAGCCCCTCCTCTGCCCTACCTGTCTACAGTCTGTTTCCATCAGTCTGTTCCCGCCACACTTGTTTGCTTGTTACTCTTGTAATATTCTTCCTGCCTTTGGCTTCTACGTTTCCCCTTGCCTCCGCTCTAGAACATTCTTCCCAGGTGACCCCACAGGTACTCTCTGTCTCCTTCGGCTCACATGAAACCTGCTGTGCCATCTTCTTTAGTTTGTCTCTCACTGCTCTCTGTTGCCTCTGTGCTTAATTCTTATCTACCACAGGAGCTTGGCATCCTCTGTGTGCTGGTTGCCCCACACTGCCTGTCGCCATGAGGGGCAGTGTGAACTTCCAGGTCAGTGGTAGCTTCTCTCTCATTTGCTGCCTGCTTCTCTGTCACTTGCAGCAGTGCTTGGCACCTTGAAGGAACTGCAGGGTCCGAGTGGGGCTCAGTGGCAGAGCATGCTCAGCACCTGAGTCCTGGACTCAGCGCCACCCTGAACAAACCTGGTTTGTTCACAGAGCAGGGAGGTGCGGCTCTTCCCTAAGGAAGACTTAAACAGGAGCTTTTCTTCTCCCTCATGGTCCTCCAAGCTGGAAAATGTCTTCTCGTGTCTCTCAGGACATGGACGCTGCATTTGCTTTTCTTCCAGTTATTCCGTGGAGTGTCTGTGCTGTTAGTGCTTTCCTTTCCTTTTGACACCCCGATGACCTTGTTAGTATTCATGTTGGATAATCCTGGACCACGTGGAAGAGGATTTTGACCTCAGGCCTTCAGGATAGCTGGTGATACCATTACCCAAATTGCTATCAGCCTGTGTTTCGGTGTGGCATGATTAGTGCTGGCTGTTGGCTCATGATTTTACCACCAGTTGTGTTTATGCTTGATGTAGAGACTGGCAGAATATAGAGACTGTGTGCGGGCAGAGGGTTGGGCTTTCGGTAATGAAGCTCGGGGCAGGAGGAGCTAAGACACTGCTGGAGACAAGCGTGCCTCCCCCACCTGGGAATTAATGCGTAGTTAGGAAGTTATGATGCATTTCATTTGTCAGTGTTGAAGTTGTTTGGTAATTTAAACTCATTTTTAAAATTTTTTGCATGTGTAGGTAGTTTTTTGAACTCACTTATTTTATAGTTGATTTGAGTTCAGAGCCTCAGCAGTTGTTCTGTTATAAGAATAAGCAGAAGGCCTTTGTGGTAGCACACACCTGTCATTCCAGCATTCGGGAGGCTGAGGCAGGGGGATCATTGCAAGTTTGAGGCCAGCCTGAGCTACAAAGTAAGCTCCAGCTTGAACAAACAGATGCTTCCAAAAGGAGGAAAGTAGAGGAAGGTGAGCCATACTCCTCGGCACCTGTGAGGCCAGCAGTGTTACAGTCTGGATGCCAGAGCCCCAGAGTTGGCGTTCCTACTGTATGCGTGTTTGCTCTGTGTTCATTTCATTATTTAGGCATGCCTAGGCATACATATATAGCGTTTCATCATACATATATATGTTTTTTAGAAAATCATAATCTATGCATCACCTATTTGGAAAATGTTGAATATAGAGTTTCTGCAGTTCTTTTTTTAAAATTTGTTTTAAAGGGCCAGGGATTTAGCTCAGCAGCATAAGCACTTGCCTGGCAAGCACCGCAAAAAACAAAAACAAAAACAATTTGTTTTAAAAAGGATCAAAAAAAAAAAAAAAAAACAAACCTGTGTAAGAGATACAGGATTTCAAATCATTACAAAATCAACAGTATTACCACAATGCCTTTTGATGTCTTCAAAGTAGCTGCAGATAACTTCGGATATAGTAAAAATCAAGCAGAATAGAATAGAACAAAACATTGAATGCAATAAAGGACTTCAAAACAAGCCAACAGTAAATCCAAAATTGCTACCATAATATATCTTGCTATTGAAATATCTTCTCCTGCCATCAGATTTAACATAAACCAAAAATAATAAAACCCAACCCAACAAAATAATGGAAATGATATGGGACTTCAAAACAAGACCATAGAGAATCAACAATGGCTGTAGCCCTCAGAAGAGATCCCCTCTAGATGCCACACTGTGTACCCCTATCCTGTGAACCCATGATCAGACCTCTGGCCCTAGACCTGCAGTGTTAGTGAAACACCAAACACCACAGTCATCCAACTGCATTTCACCTCCATAGCTGTCATTGCCTGTGTTTCTCTGGATCAGCTGGTCACTTATGCAGTTGGCGGAAGGGGATTAGTATTTATTGTTGGCCAGCCTGTGATGCCAAAAGGGGTTGGGGTCTGGGTTTTCCCAGTCTGGCAGCAGCCCGTACATGGTGCTGGTTCCCAGGACTTGCTTGCCGGTGTGGCCTTGTTCTCTCTACCCCTGGCCCATAAATGGCACTGACTTATGTGAGAGGCTTGGGTCTAGCTGTTCCTGGTCTGGTAGTAGTCCAAACATGTTGCTAGTTTGGTTTCTGCAGTTCTTAAATGAAAAAGTATCAAATTTGTAAAGTTGCAGAATTCAAGTGCAACTATTCCTTTTTTTTACTTTGTCAACTATGAAGTGATAATAAGAAAGATTAGGGAAATAGTAGAAGTTGTATAATCTTGGGGAGTGGGTCTCGTATGCTAACTCTGAGAACAAATGTAGGAAATAAGCAACAAGATCTTCCTGCTAAAGTGAGAAGCATGCTTGGAGAAGTGATAGGACGCGTATGGGGATCCACTCAAACAGAGGCAGTGATTGTCTCTGGGGACGGCAAGGGTACAGGAGGCAGCCTGCCCTGTCCCCGGGAGTCCAAGGACTGGCAGAGGGAGAGCCACTTGTCATTAAGTTCAGTGAGGAAGAGGCATAAAACCGTTGCTGTGTTGTTAGGGTCCTTCAGTGTCTAATTATTCCAGCCCTTCAGATCCACACCTTTTAGGAAATGTATGTAGTAGTTATAAGGAAACTGCAGTGTACCTTGAACTATTCATCTGTGCTGCCCCTTGTGGCCATAGCAGGTCTCCAGTGAGAAGAACTTGCTTCAGGCAAGCAGGAAGCGAAGGGAGTACTCCAGGACAGAGGTGCGACTGCCTGAGCTGAGCTACAGCCACCTGCCCGATCTGCGCGCCTTGGAAGGCATGGGTACGTGTACGGTGCTCTGTTTACATTATATAAAGTACAGAAAACCAGCAGAATGTTAACAATCAAAATTTACAGTGACTTTTCATATTTAAGTAGGTAAATATACAGCTCTGGGTAATTCAGACTGAGGGACACTTGGAGAATATGAGAAGCTAGCAGAATGTCTAATGTTTTCACTGTGTTTATGGTTATCTTTTTTGTAGCTCGAAATTCTAGACTAATAAGGAAAGAGAACAAAATTCTTTCTGAATCTCGAATCCCTTCTCTGGCTGCTATTGACCTTCATGCCTCCAGCATGGCACTGCACCAGGTACAGAAATGCTCTTTGTAGGTATACAGGCTGGTACTCCCTCCAACATGTTCTAGGGACAACTTGCTAAGAATTTGGCAAGTTTTTGTGTTGAGTCTATAAAATTTTGCTTGTAAATTTTGTCTTACAGTTCCTTGCACCCAGTATCTTCCTTTTTAATTAATTTTATTGATATATTTTAGATATACATGACTGCATTCATCATAGGGACCTTGTAACTGTGTATGATATATCTTGATTCTTTTTCCCCAATCGTCTCCACTCCCTTTAACAGCTCTTCCCCACCTTATTTACAAAAGCTTTGTTTCCTTTTTTTTCTTTTATGTTTTTCTTTTTCCTTCCTTCCTTCCTTTTCCCCTCTCCTCTCTGTTGTTCCCCTTCCCATTTTAGTATGTTTTTCCTATTTCCCAATATCTGTTATACATCTGCATTACCTTTTCAGGTAATCACACCAGAGAAGCAATGCAGTGTTTACACATGTGTATCTGATTTGTCTTATTTGAGTAAGGTCTCAAGGTCCATCCATTTAGTTAGAAATGTCTCATGTTTATCTTTCTTTATGGCAGAGTATTAAAATAAACTCCATTGTATAAAAAACCACATCTTCTTTATCCATTCGCAGGTTGATGGGCATTTGGGCTGTTTCCAAAATTTAGCCATCGCAAACTGCTGCTACAAACATAGATGTGTATCCTCCAGTAAAGGTGTTTTGCCCTTTTGTCAAAGATAAGGTGGCCAAGTATGTGTGGAGTTGTTTCTGTATTTTCTAACCTGTTCCATTGATTTCTGGCCTATTTCTTTTGCCACCACCATGCTATTTTTATCACAATAACTTTGAAGTATAATTTCAAATCAGAGATTGAGATGCCCCTGCCCTGCCTAAGTTGCCTAGAATTACTTTTGATATTCTAGCTCTCTTCTGGTTTAAAATGGTCTTTACAATTGTTTTCTCTAATTCTGTGAGGTATGCCAAAGGTATTTTGATTGGGAGTGCATTAAATCTGTATAACAATTTTTGGATGTATGGCAATTTCCACTATATTGGTTCTTCCTACCCAAGAGCAAGGGAGATCTTTCCATTTTATGATATCCTCTTCAATCTCCTTTTCCAGAGTAACTTTTACGTCCTTCTTTAGATTAATTCCTAAGTATTCATTTTGGGGGGATGCTATTGTGAAAGGTGTTGTTTCCCTAATGCTTTTCTCGTGTGTTGGTTATTTGTGTATAGGAATGTCATTAATGTTTGAGTATTGACTTTATCCAGGTATGCTACTGAATTTGGTTATTAAATCTAGAAGTCTTTAGGTGGATACTCTTAGAGTATCATATCATCTGCAGATAGTGGTAACTTCACTTTTTCCTCTTGTTGCTTTTGTTTCTTTTTCATGTCTAATTGTTCTGGCTAATATTTCCAGAATATATCAACTAAGAGTTGTGTTAGTGAACATATTATTCCTGATTTTAGAGTGAAAGCTTTCAGGTTTTGACATTTGATACGATGTTGGAAGTTGGTTTGTCAGTGGTGGTTTTCATTAGGTTGAGATAAAGACCATCTATTCCATTTTTCTGTAGGTTTTTTTTTTTATCATTAGTGAGTGTTGGATTTTGTGTTGTGCTGTGTCTGTGTCTGTGGAAAAGACCTGTGGTCTTGTCTTTGACTCTGTGCATTGTACTTACCGACTTGCATGCTTGCTTTGGCAGCACATGCACAGTTCTTGACTTGCCTCTGTTGAGTCATCCCTGCAACCCTCAGATGAATCCTGCCTGGTCATGGTGTGTAATCTTCTTCATGATGTTCTGTTCTGTTTCCCAGTACCTTACTGAGAATTTTTGCATTTGTGTTCATTAGGGAAATTGGCCTGTTCTCTTTTTCAGTTGGATCCTTCTCTGGTTTTGGTATTAAATGGTTGCTTCAGGTAATAAATTTGGAGTTCCCTTCAATTTCATTAAAGAGTTTGAGGAATTATGGCATAGATCTCTAAATTTCTTGTAGAGTTCAGCAGTGAGTGCATCAGTACCTGTGATTTTTTTGTTGGTAAGTTTTTAATTATATCTTCAATTTCATTTACTGATACTGGCTTATTTAAAAATTTTATATCTTCTTGATTCAGCTTTGGTAGTCATATGTATCTAGGAACCTGTGTGTTTTCCGTGTTACTAAAATACAGGTTCTAAAAGTAGGTACTGACGTGGGAGCAATGAAACCCAAAATGTGTAATAGTCATTGTACAAAAGAGAGGAAAAGAAAGTGCTCCAAACTATATAACTGCATGTATATTTAAGTGTATAAGATAGAAAATGATATCACAGAGTTTAATTGGATCAATGAACAGAACTGTTTGCAGTATCATTGATGGAATGTCCACTTTACAAGCTTTAATTTTGTGACTTGAACAATTATTTCTAAGATGACAATATGTAATCCATTAACTAGTGATTTCCTACTGTTCATTTTTTTTCTGTAAATCTGTATAACTTGTACCCTTTCCCTGCTTTTTTTTTCTTTTCTCCTTAAATAAAATTTAAAAAAAAAATTAAAAAAAAAAAAAAGAAAAAAAAAAATAAAAGTAAGGGGCTAGGGGTTTAGCTCAGCGGCGTAAGCACCTGCCTTGCAAGCAGGCGGTCGTGAGTTCGATCCCCGGTACCGATAAAAATGAAAAAGACAAAAAAAAAAAAAATAAAAGTAGGTACTGATGGTCTTACGAATTTTTGCAGGGTCTGTGATGATTTCACTCTTTTTATTCCTAATGCATGTGTTTGAGTCTTTTTTTTCCTTTTTTGATGAGGTTGGTTAAGGGTTGGTCAGTTTTACTTAATCTTTCAAAGAACCAACTCTTTGATTCATTGATTCTTTGTATTGCTTCTTAGTTGTTGAGAGTTCGGCCAACAGTCCCAATTGTCAATATTGGGAATCCAGCCAACAGTCCCAGTTGTATGTCTTAAGAATGTGGCACAAAAAATAAAAAACAGAGGCAAGTGTAGTATTCCATCAATGGCTGGGAAGTCAGTTTCTCTGGATTGGATTGGCCTCCCACTCCCAAAGCAGTCCCTATCAGGGGTATGCTCTGAATAGGTGGGGCTAGTAAAGGATTGCAATTCACTAGAAGACTCAGACTCAAGAGGGCGTAGATGATCTTATGTTTAGAAATATCTTGTCCTGGCACATAATCCTGAGATGACTCAAGAGGGTGTGAATGATCTTATGCTTAGAAGAGTCAGTGGGAAGTCTCAGGTGGGTGGTACCAATAATCCCAATCCTTCTTTTTGTCCCATAGGGAAATATGCAGAATTAGCCATGGTCTCCAACACATCTCAATTGTGTTAATTTTTTCTCTGCTCTTTATATTTTCTTCTTCATACAGGCTTTGGGCTTGACTTACTTTTATTTTTCTAGAAACTTGAGGTTCAGCATTAGGTTGTTTATTTGATCTAGCTCAAGTTTTCTGATGTGAAAATTCACCACTATAAATTTCCCTTGTTAGGACTGCTTTCATTGTGTACCGTAAGTTCTGGTATATTGTATTGGCATTACTGTTTAATTGTAGAAACTCTTAATTTGATTTTTAATTTCATCTTTGACCTATTAGTTGGTCAAGAGGGTGTTATTTAATTTCCATGTGTTTTTGTGGTCTTATCTGTCATAATTTCTAATTTCATTGCACTATAGTGTGATAAGTATAGGATAATTTCACTTCCTTTGCATTTACTTAAGCATGTTATATGAGCTAGTGTGTGGACTGTTTGGGAGAACATCCCATGTACAGTTGAGAAAAATGTATATTCTGATGTGGGATGGAACATTCTCTAGACACTGTAAGTCCATTTGTTCAAAAGTTTGGTTCAGTCTGGTATTTCTTTGTTGATTTTTTTTGTCTAGTTGATCTGTTTATTTGTAACAATTAGATGTTGAGGTCCCCATTACAATTATATCAGTGCTTACTTGATTTTTCAGGTCCATTAATATTTGTTTTATATAGATGGGTGCACTGGTATTTGGTGCATATATACTTAGGATTGTTATCTCTTCCTCTTGGATTGTTCTCTTATAAGCATATACAGTATTTCCCTGCAGAGTTGGAGTTCAGAGTTCATGGCATCATTCATTAATTTTTCCTTAGAACCTAATAGTTGTTCACAGAAATATCTGCAATTTTGCAGAAATCGCAAATATCCTCCACAGTAGAATTTTTTGGCAGGAGGTTTGTAGGTAGCCAACCCGAGTGCATTACTTAGTTCTTCTTGTTGCACGTTGGCCGCCCCGCTGTAATGCACTGCTAGCAGCTGCACTAGAATCCCTGAGTGGTAACAGGTTGCTGCACCCCATGCCTAACTCAGGTGTTCTTGGTTTTGTTCTTTTTAAAGCCCTACAATCCTTAAGATGCTGCCAAAACACCTACAATTTCTAAAGCTTTATTAGTGTAGTAGTTTACTATATCGAATTGCATAACTGCAGGAGACATATATTTAGAGTTTAAGCTGTAAAAATAGACATTTAGAGGTATTTGTCTGACCATTTTTGAAATTTGTGGTTTTTCATAATTCACAGGAGCTCTATGAACATAATCCCTGTGTATTTTGAGGATCCACTGTAGTGATTTTCTTTGTCTCTCTTTGCCAGTGTTGGCTCAAACTCTACAGAATTGTAGATTTTGTACAAACAGAATATCTACCCCTGCTTTTCTTTGGGTTCCTATCACATGGAGAATTGTTTTCCATCCTTTGACTTTCAGTCTATGAATTTGTTCTTGAGTTAAGTGTGTGTTTCTTGTATGCAGCATATTGCTGGATCTTGGTTCTTGATCCGTCTTGCCAGTTATTTCTTTATATTGATAAAATGAGACCATTTACATTGATGGTTATAACTGATGTATATTGTTTTATTTTCATCCTATTAGTTTCCTGTTGTGGGCTTTCTTTCTCCTCTGTTTAATTGCTTACCTTGCCTAGTGGGTTCGTTTTGTTGGGGTTCATGGAGTTGTAGTCTTTGTTATCTCTGCCTGCAATATCAGTATATTTCAGAACATTGCTCCCTGGATTTGCCTTTCCTGAACTGGAAATCTGAAGTTGCATCTTGCTTTTTTGTCTTCTCCTTTTCTATTTTTTGAAAAAAAACTTCGCGCTGATGTTTGTAAATTGCTTATGGTTGGCAGTTTTATTGCTGGTAACAAGGACATTATAAAATGACTACTTCTCAGAGATATCTGCCAGGTGTAGCTGGCTTTTGGGTTTTGAGTCTGTTACAAGATCCTGTCTTCAATTTATTGGGAGTAAGAAGTTCCTATCTATGTGGCCGAGTCTCTGGTTCTTTGGCACTGGCTATAGCATTATTTAAAAATCTTCAGAGGCCTAAGGGAAACTATAGAGGAAGAGAAGAGATTAGAAGCCAGGTTGGAGGACAAAGGAATATTGTACAGACTTTGGGAAACTGGTGAGGACGACAGGAGAGCAAGAAAGAAACAGAAACAAAAACAAAACAATTTAGCAACATCAAAAATCAAGAAAAAGATATTAAAAACAAAAAATGTACACTTCCGGCCATATCCGTGCTATCACTGGAGACTTCTTGTGGGCTTCACTTCTCACTTGCTGGGTTCCAGAGATCCACTCCCCACCTTCCCTTCATTGCTGATTTCCAGCATCTGGATTCTAAATCTCAGAGAAGCTGATTTTCTGTTGCTCAGTGCTTTGCCATCTTCCTGACATCAGTATGTCTTAGCTCTGTTTTTATAAAGCTTCCTAACTTGCAGTGATCCATGCATGGAAACATGGAGTTCAATCACAGTGACGGCTCGTGTTTAGCTCCCGGGGCCCCAAATGGCGGTGTCGGTTCAGGTCTATCCGTGTCTGAGAGGCTGCTGTGAAGATCTGCTGTAGTTGTGAAAGAGTCCCATTTCTCACGTACATCTGTTCGATTTTTCTTGGTGCATTTTAAAATCTCTCCTGTTCGGCACAGGCACACTTAGAAGTGTCTCTTTGTGCCCTGTGCCCTGATGTTATGTCACCCGAGACTGAAGAGCCATCTCAGCCTTCTGAGACCTATGTGTATGGTGCATGTGTTTTTACTCTGATTTACTTTCTGTTTGTTTTATTGTGTATTGTGTATTTGAAGTGCTTTTTTACAGGCAGCCTGAAGTAGGCCCTTTCCTTTGCACCCACTGTGCCCTTTAATTAGGATATATCGGTGGTCATCTGTGGCTGCTCTCCAGTTACTACAGACCAGGAGCCAAGCTTGTTTGTTGGTCAGAAGCCAGGGCACAGCTGCTGCACTGCATGTGTCTTGCAGATAAGAGTCCAGACGTCAGCAGGGCCGGGCTCCCAAGAGCTTTGAATATCCCGTCCAGTTTCATCCAGGGTGGAGGCAGAATGGAGCTCCCTGCCCGAGGTCCAGTGTCCTCCATGGCCGCCAGTTGGGCGCGGCTCTCGCTTGGAGGCCACTGCATTCCCGGGCTCACTCTGCTCTTGTGAAAAGCTCACACACCGTCTCCTGAGGACAGCTCAGTGGTAATGCAGACCCCTGTGCAAGGCCTGCGGACCTGTGCCAGAGTCAGTGTCAACCTGTGAGGCCAGCCATCCGAGGACGCCTCTTTCATGGTCCAGCCGACTGCAGACTGCATAGGCCATTTTAACCTGGTTGCCAGTGTGGCAGCCTGATGCTGGCTTTTTATTATTTGTTTTCTGTGTGTTCACTTGCTTTTCCTTTCTGGTCTTATTTGTTTTCGATTATTTTAGTCAGTTTTTTTCTTTGTTTTGTGGCAGTATCTTTGTATTATTTCTTAAAGAGATTGTTCTAGACATTACAGTATGACCAGTCCTTTCTAGTCTACATCACACCACTTATATAAAATGTAGAGACTTTCCAATCATATTCCCTTCACTCCAGTCTCAATTTAATTCCAGTGCTGTTGTACTTAATCCGTTCACACACATTCAAGACCTCAGCCTGCTGTGCTCTACTTTTGCTTTAATCTTCCTATAGCGTTCCTTCACATGCCTGACACTTCCTGTGGTTTCCCTTCACAAGCCTGACGCCTTCCCGTGGCCTTCCTTCACATGCCTGACACTTCCTGTAGCCTTCCTTTACAAATCTGATACTGACAGACTCTCATAGTTTTTCTTCATTTGAGAAAAACTGGAATTGTGGCTGGGCATGATGGTGTACGCCTGTAATCCCAGCATGTGGGAGGCTGAGGCAGAAGGATCACGTGGAATTCAAGGCCAGCCTGAATTACATAGTGAGATTCCATTTCAAAAACCAGCAGCAACAACAAAATAAAAACAGCAGCAAACAAAAAAGAGAATTACTTTATTTTGCCTTACTTCTCCAAATATATTTTCACTGGATATGGAGTTAAATGGTGTTTGTTGTGTTTTTCTCCTGGCTTTTGATCTTTATCATTTTTTCTGAGAAATTCTCAGATATTTGAGTTGTTGTTCCCCTGCAGACAGTGTTTCAATTTTCGTTAGTTACTTTCAAGACTTATTTTTTCAGGAGCTTGAATACACAAGGCATAACCTTGAATTTACTCTGTTTGGTGTTTTATTTATTTATTTTTTTAAATCTTTTTCATTTTTATCGGTACCGGGGATCGAACTCATGACTGCCTGCTTACAAGGCAGGCGCTTATGCCGCTGAGCTAAATCCCCAGCCCCATGTTTGGGGGTTTTGACCACTTTCTTTAATCTAAAAAACATCTTTTACAATTCTGGGGAATTTTGGTCACTATTTTCTTCAAATATTTTTTCAGCTATAATCCCTCCTTTTCTTCCTGACATGTGTGTTAGACCTTTTGATATTTTGTCACAGGTTCCTGGGACTCCATTTTTTAAAAATCTTTTTTCTTTTTATTCTTAATTATCCAATTCCTATAGACCTAGATTCATATTTGCTGACCTTTCACTTCTCTATCCTGTTATTGTCATCTAGTTATATTTTTTATTTACGATACTGTGTTTCTATAGTCCTAGGATATCCATTGGTTCATTTTTATAGTTCAGAATTCGTGTCTTTTTATTTATTTCTGGTATGTTTTCCTTTACTTCATGTCGCATAGTAATGATGGCTACTTTGAAGCTTTAGGCTTGGGTTTTACAGGAAGTAGCAGAGATGGGTGGTGAAAGATCTCTTAACACACCTCTGAACTAAGAGGTCAAAGAATAATGTCCTTTTCCTTCACTGTTTCTGTGAAGAAACATGAGCTCTCAGTAGTTAACTGTAAGCATCTAATAGGTGAACAGCAGGGTGAGATTCTGGAGTGGGGCCTGGTAATGACTGAGCATCTGCTGCTTGGTTCTTCCTCGTCAGGTGCTGGGCTCACCCCTGTCCGAAGACACCGAGGCCAACGCGCCCTGGGTGGAGCACCAGCACTGAGCCCACGCACGGTAGGTCTGAAGCCGCCTCCGGGACACACGAGCTGGTTGATGTCTTGCTGAACAAATGTATCAGTGAGAATGCTCTGTGCTGGTTGATGGCATGAACTGCTGACAGAGAAGCATCGTGTGTCGCTCAGAGGACCAAAAGTAGTGTTTGTCTGCTTACGGAACCCCTTTCCCTCTTGGACCAGCCTCCTAACGCTTTGGGATGACAGGTGCTCGCTGTGGGGCCACCTCCCCCAGGAGCAGCTTGTCAGCCTGGGTGGGGGGGTTGCTCAGTGGTCTCTTTCCCAACAGAGGTTGTGAATATAGCTTCTTAGTTCTTAAAAGCAAAAGTGCTGGAAAGATGTCACACACAGGTAACATAAGCACCTAAGAATGCGTCGTGGGGCACAGAGCAAGCCGTACTCTCAGGTTTAGCCTCTCAGTCTCAGTCTTGTGGCTGAGCTTCCAGGTGAGTTTTTCAGTAAAGCGAAATTCACTTTCATCAAACAAACAAAACCACAGCTTTTGGGGCAGTACTTTTTTGTGTGACCTTAAGCAGGTCCTTCAGTGTTTAATGTCTTGTTAGCTCTGTAAAAGAAGAGGGTAATGAAATCTGATGTTCCCATAACACCATTATTGAAGTTAGTCTGTTAACCTCCACAGGCTGCTGTGAAATTAATTCCAGGGCATCAAGGGAGTTTTCTGTGAAGCAGTTAGGTTTTGGTCCCCTTTGCACAGGCCCTTCGGCCACAAGAGAGTGGGCTTGATCCTGTGTTATCTGAACTATCTCATGGCCGCAAGGCTCAGTTCTGCTGTACCTGCATCACTGTTTGTGTGCTAGAAGGGAGGCAGCAGGTTGTGCTGCTCCCTGGACTGATAGTGACCCTAAAGATGGCCTTTACTGTCTTATTTTAGTGCGTAGAACCTCGTTTGCTTAGGCTACCAGTACTATCAGTGTCTGCACGGAGACAGCGTGAGAAAGTAAGTGAGAGAGAAATCAGTTTCCAGGAAGGTTTGTGCAGAAACAACAACACAGCATTTAGCCCCATCTCTTTGTGTGCTTCCAGGCGCTACACCCAAGATGACACCCTTTTGCGATCCGAGTGCCTGATGTGCTCGGAGGAGAGAGGCATGGCTTTGTCTCCTCCTAACTGTCTGCTTCTTCTGAGAAAGGCTCCCAGAGGAAGGAAGACAAGGCCGCAGTGGCTGCACAGGAAGACTGAACGGTGCCGCCTGCCCTTCTCAGTCTGTTGCTACTGTTTCAAGATGTGTCTAATGGAGAATAGTGATATGGGTCTTGTTACATGAATGTGTGTTTGCTGTTAATAGATTGTGTATTTAAAGTTAGCTGAGATTAAAAATGAGTAAAAAAGAAAAATAGAAAAGATCATATTATTGATGCATTGAACTGTGTGTGCTCTTGGTACAAATGCTTGCTGTTAAAAATGAAAAAGCTAGAGTCTGTAAGAGAAAATGTTTACCTTACCCTAACCCTAAAAACACACTTAGAACTCATAACTTGTTTCTGGGCCCTGAGGTGCTGTGTAACTGCTGTTTATGGGAGGTGCGGGTCTGTGGTTGTGGCCCTCAGCGGATCTTCTAGCACCCCACCAGTGGCAGCCTGTAGCAGAACCATGACTTCACTGTCCTCTGAGGAGCGTCTGGACCAGGGTTCCCTCCCTCTAGAGCAGGGGTTGGAGAAGTTAGAGGTGTGCCCGGGAGCTGGTTCGGGCTGCTCGGTAGGGAAGGCCATAGCATACCAAATGTGCTGGGAGGCAGGCTCCTGGAAGCAGGCAGCCACCCCACAGCTGCTGTGGAAGCACCGGTGTAGGAAGCTTCCAGAGGGACCTCTGCTGTCCTGGACTCCACTCTGTCCGTGGTAGTTTGAGTATAACAATAAATCTCAGAAAAGTTCCAGTCTCCTCATTGCCGCAGACATGAAGGTCTGCCCTAAAGCATCTCCCCAAAGTGCAGAGTCATCCGCCCACATTCCTTATACCATCTGCAGCTCCGCAGGGCTGGGTTGGAGCAGTCGGGCCTTGGGTTCCTGGTTTCTGGCTTCGTGGTATGCATTCATCACGTTAGGAATAATTTTGACAGGGACCAGACTTTGCCGGGTTTTTTTATTTAGCCAAATAATATAGTGTGGTGTTCTTTCCAAAAGTCACCCATTAGACGTTATCCCATGAATTTAACTAGAGCTTCTATTATCCTGAAGGGCTTGATACTGAAATTCTAGCATTAGATACTTGGCCCTCAAAAGAACAGGACATTCCAGAGGAGGCAAAATAAAGGGTTGTGATGTACAAGTCATAGAAGGTGATTTGATTCGATTGGTTTGGGTTTCAAAGCTGTGTTTTTAACCTCTGTCAAGGTGTGGCTGGTGTATCACAGTGGGGAGGTTAGTGTGTTGGCCTTAGTAAGTGCCACATTAAAATACCATTTTATTTTCACTTTGGAAAGCGTGGCCGGCATGCTGTATGCTGTGGAAACAGCCCTGGGTAAAACCAGGCAGCACTTCTGCCTTACTTCAGTGGTGTTTTCTGTGAGAATCGGGGTGATAGTAGCACGGTGTGTGAGAGGCTGGGGTCAGTGGCCTTCTAATTCCTGCCGGGCTTTTAGCAAGATACCTTGTGCTCTTTAGGATTAAGGGACTGCGAATCGTCCTGTAAGTCCATGTGGGTCCTTGAGATCGTACCTGGTTGGACCCTAGGCTGAGTGAGTAGGGAAAGACTGTGTACACTGGAGCTGTAAACACGGCCAAAGTAATCGCTGTTCTAAAACGGGTGTTGATGCTTATTTAGGCTCTTTAGAGGGGTGGGATTTACTCACCTACTAACATGGAACCTGCATCTGTTCTAGTGGGCTTGCTGTGTGTCTGAATGTTTGGAAACTAATAAATATCTTAGCTCTATAGGTGAGTTTAATTTAGGTTTATTAAGAGATTATAAGTAGCATATGTACCACTGTACGGTATTAATAAAAACCTTTGAAGTATTTGCTCTTTTCTTTTGAAACTGGGGCCCTCCAGGAAGAGATAAGTGCATTTCCCTGTGCGGTGGTGACAGAAGTGTGATAGCAAAGGGCGGCCCCTAAGGCCACCTGGCACATGCTGAGCTGGCAGACTCAGCAGCCGTCCTCTGGAGAAGCTCTTCCGGTTGGGCGAGCCTGGCTCCCACTGAAGTTGGGGGGAGCACAGGACTCCCTCATTGGCCAGCTTCAGCTGGGCTACGGGAGAAGCCTGGCCTACAGACGAGGCAGGACGAAGACGAAGGCGTCTGACCCCTGCGGGACCCGGGAAGCCGCCAGGTGCTGGACTGATTTGGACTGAAGGGTGCTCAACTGTTCTGTGCTAAGTATGTTAGAAAGGAGCCCTGAACTGTCTTCCACCCGCATAAAAAGTTACTGTCCTACATTTCTTTTTAAAGGGGCATTTTAAACCTCTTCCTGTCCTCAAACATGAAATGCTTTGAAAATTTGATTAACACCCACACGTTTCCCAGGGGGCCTTCCTGAAAGGGCCTCCCCCCGGGTCTGCACGTCACCCTGTGACCTGTGACTGTCATGCTGTGTGATGCTGAGTATATAACATGTGGAGAGATTTTCTTTATAACAAAACCCACCCATGAAAATAGCGTGTTCCAGGGGCCAGGGATTTAGCTCAGTGGCATAAGTGCCTGCCTGGCAAGCTCAGGGTCATGAGTTCGATCCCCGCTACCACAAAAAGAGAAAGAAAATAGCATGTTCTGTTTCAGTTAAAATCATTCCCCCTACTGTATAGCCTTAATTCTTTTCTTTACCTCAGCACCCAGGGTCATTTCCTTAGAAAGTGAGAAAAGTTCCTATAAAATTTTGGAAAATGTTTTGTCTGCTAACCTGAGTCAGCATAAGAAAGGATCAGGAAATAAAAACAACATATGAATTGGCATGTTATCTGTCCCTGTGTTAGGGTGGACACTATAGTGTCACTGCTTCACTAAAGTATCAGTGTCTCTAATTAAGAACAGGGTACCACACCTTATTTACCTCTATACCACATTGTCGAGTACAGTGATTTTTGTGTAATAGTATTAACTATATCTGGGGATTTAATTCAGTGGCACAACTACCTCCCTAGCAAGCACAAGGTTGTGAGTTTAATCCCTGGTACCAAAACCCCCCAAAAAACTATGAAAGTAGGAATGTTGTTTACATTTTAGAGACAAGACAATAGGCTAAAAACATTTGAAGAGCCATTCATAGTGTTGTGCTGGCGTCTGTACCTAGACCCCCAAATGGGTGCATGGCGAAGGCTCAAAGGACTGAGACACACGCGTGGTTTCTATGGCTGTAGGAGCAGTGAGATCCTCTGCAGAGCTCATAACTGCTAGCCGGCTGGCCCACTGACCCTGGGCAGCCCGTATTCAATCAGAACAAGCAAGGAGTTGAGTGGACAACGGAGGAAACCTGAGCAGGACCTTGGGAGGGGCTCAAGGACCCCTCACAGAGCAACAGATGATGCTAATTAAGGAAAGCTATCCAGAAAGTCGCCAGGTGGCCTTAGCTGTGGCCTATCCTGCCCCCTGAGGGGTCTCTTCTTTCTCAGTCCAATCATGCCCAGGCCACGCCACAGCCCTGTACGTATTTTCAGCTTCAGTGCTCTCCCACATTGTGCACACCTATAATGCCAGCACTTGAGAGGCTGAGGCTGAGGCAGGAGGACCATGAGTTTGAGGCCAGCCTAGACCACATAACAAGTTTCAGGCTGGCTGGGCCTATAGCCAGGCCTTGTTAGAAAAAAGTCTGAAGAATGTTCCCCTTGTCGTTTAGTACGTGGGAAATCAGTGCTGACATTCATATATGGTTATGATTATTTAGATCTGGAGTTCATTTGGGAAACACGTTTAATAAGAACTGAGCGCATAGACTTGGGAGCATCCTGCTGGCTTGAGCAGGAGGAGCTTGAAGTTTCCTTAACCCTTGCACAAGGCTTCGCTCTCATAGGCCAGACAGGAGGTGGCTACACCGGCAGGTTGGAGCCCTGGGCTTTGCCTGGACTACAGGAGTGACAGGAAGTGGGGACGTGTGAGTGGGTGTGGGCAGATCACAGCTGGCTGGGCTTCCACAGAGTCCTGGTGCGGAGGACCATTCCCGGGAGCCACCTGCTGAAGCCGCCGCAGTGCTGTTTCCAGTTGGGGCTGTGCTGGTTTATGGGCTCCCCGGTGGAAGGTGACCTTATGTGAGCTATTAATTCTCATTTTGGTCAGTCTGATGGCGGCTGCTGAACTTGCTTTGTCTTGTTTCCTTGTCTTGATGTATTTTTATGTATTTATTATTTGAATGCTTTCTATGAATAAAAGATATTAAAGGACTTCAAAAAGGGTAAAGCAGATTTTAGGTCAAATGGACATTTTTTTTTTTTTTTTTTGAGATGGTCTCAAACTCAACACAGTCCTCCTGCCTCAGCCTCCTGAGTTCTGGGCTTACAGACATGTGCTGCTTTGCCTCACTCAATATAATGATTTTTAAAAAATATCACCAAAGACAACTGAAAAAGGGCTGTACAAAAGGAGAACTATATTGCCAATATGGAAACAGAAGACTTTAAAAACATACCTGGAATAAATATATCAGTGAGACTGTATGATCTCTATTGTGAGTGAAAGTAGACATCTAATTCTCCAACCGAAAGAAACAGTGAAAGGTATTTCTAAGGAAATGAAAATGTTGATTGTGTGCAGAACGTGTAACAAACCTTCCACAAAGAACATAGCTGCAGAGTAGATCAACTTTATTGAAAATCAGTTCATTGTGTCCATTGATTTGAAGAATAACAGTTTTAAAAGCCATTTTAATCTAACTTACAATTACAGGAAGCCTGTGTGTGTGTGTAGAGGCCTCTGTGTATGTGTGTAGAGGCCTCTCTGTGTGTGTGTATGTGTGTAGAGGCCTCTGTGTGTGTGTAGAGGCACTTGTGTGTGTGTAGAAGCCTCTGTGTCTGTATGTAGAGACTTCTGTGTGTATATGTAGAGGATTGTGTGTCTGTGTGTGTGTGTGTGTAGAGGCCTCCGTGTGTGTAGAGGCCTTTGTGTGTGTGCAGAGACGTCTGTGTGTGTGTGTGTGTATAGAGGCCTTTGTGTGTGTGCAGAGGTCTCACTGTGTGTGTGTGTGTGTGTGTGTGTGTGTGTGTGTGTGTGTAGAGGCCTCTGTGTGTGTGTATATAGAGGCCTCTGTCTGTGCCTTTAGATGCCTCTGTGTGTGTAGAGGCCTCTGTGTGTGTGTACAGAAGCCTTAGTTTGTGTGTGTCTGTTTGTGTAAAAGCCTCTGTGTGTGGGTGTGTAGAGGTCTCTGTGTGTTTTTGTGTGTGTGTGTGTGTAGTGGCCTCTGTGTGTGTGTGTGTGTGTGTGTGTAGGTAGAGGCTTCTGTTTGTGTGTTTAGAGGTCTCTGTGTGTGTATAGAGGCTTCTGTGTATGTGTGTAAAGGCCTTTGTGTGTGTGTAGAAGCCTCTGTATGTATGTATGCATGTGTTGAGGCCTCTGTGTGTGTAGAAACCACTGTATTTGTGTGTGTGTGTAGGGGCCTCTGTGTGTTTGTGTGTAGAGGCATCTTTGTGTGTGTATAGAATCCTCTGTGTGTGTGTAGAGGCCTCTGTGTGTGTGTGTAGAGTCCTTAGTGTGTGTCTAGAAGCCTGTGTGTGTGTGTGTGTGTGTGTGTGTAGTGTCTGCTGTGTGTATGTGAGTTTGTAGAGTTTATGTGTGTGTTTGTAGAGGCCCCTGTGTGTGTGTGTGTGTGTGTGTGTGTGCATGTAGATGCCTCTGTGTGTGTGTGTGTAGAGGCCTCTGTGTGTGTGTTTTAAGAGGCCTCTGTGTGTGCATGAGTGTGTAGAGGCCTCTGTATGCATGTAGAAGCCACTGTGTGTGTATGTAGAGGCATCTGTTGATGTGTGTGTGTGGAGGCCTCTGTGTGTGTGTGTAGAGGCCTTTGTGTCTGTGTGTAGAAGCCTCTGGGTGTTTGTGTGTGTTGAGGCCTCTGTGTGTTTGTGTGTGTAGAGGCCTCACTGTGTGTGTGTGTGTAGAGGCCCTGTTTGTGTGTGTTAGTTAAGGTCTCTGTGTGTGTGAGTGTTTAGAGGCCTCTGTGTGTGTGAGTGTGTAGAGGCCTCTGTGTGTAGAAGCCTCTGTGTGTGTAGAGGCCTCGGTGTATGTGTGTGTGTGTGTGTGTGTGTGTGTGTAGAGGCCTCTGTGTTTGTGTTTTGAGGCCATTGTGTGTGTGTGTAGAAACCTCTGTGTGTGTGTGCATGTGTAAAGGCCTCAATGTGTTTGTGCAGAGGCCTCTGTGTGTGTGTGTGTGTGTGTGTAGATGCCTCTGTGTGTGTGTAGAGGCCTCGGTGTGTGAGTGTAGAGGCCTTTGTGTCTGTGTGTAAAAGCCTTTGGGTGTTTGTGTGTGTGTATGTAGAGGCCTCTGTGTGTTTGTGTGTGTAGAGGCCTCTGTGTGTTTGTGTGGGTAGAGGCCTCTGTGTGTGTGTTCTGAGGCCATTGTGTGTGTGTAGAAACCTCTGTGTGTGTGTGTGCCTGTGTAAAGGCCTCAATGTGTTTGTGCAGAGGCCTCTGTGTGTGTGCAGATGCCTCTGTGTGTATGTGTAGAGGCCTCGGTGTGTGAGTGTAGAGGCATTTGTGTGTGTGTGTGTGTGTGTGTGTGTGTGTAGAGGCCTCTGTGTGTGTGTGTGTGTGTGTAGAGTCCTCTGTGTGTGTGTGTGTGTATGTGTATGTGTAGAGGACTCTGTGTGTAGAAGCCTCTGTATGTGTGTGTTTAGAGGCCTCTGTGTGTGTGTGTGTGTGTGTAGAGGCCTCAGTGTGTGTGTGTGTGTAGAGCCCCTGTGTGTGTAGGTGTGTGTAGAGCCTCTGTGTGTGTGTAGAGGCCTCTGTGTGTGTGTGTTTAGAGGCCTCTGTGTGTGTGTGTGTAGAGCCCCTGTGTGTGTAGGTGTGTGTAGAGCCTCTGTGTGTGTGTAGAGGCCTCTGTGT